CTCTAGAACAGAGCATTTCACACCAAACCACTCTGAATGACTCTGTTTACATCTTAACTATTTAATTATGTAGAAATTTTGAAAAGCAAGTGGAGTTCCCCTCTAATTCTAAGTGCTAATGCGACAGCATCCAGGCCCTTATTAGGGCTTCATGGGTACTAAATAGACCCTTAGAAATAAAGGTGCTAAATAGAGTTCTTTTAAGCTGAGGATCCCTTTTGGTTCCATAAAGAACCTTCCTGTAGATGATTCATGAAATGAGTATTCCAACATCTTTCATTTAAATCCCTGCCGCATCTGTTGTGGACAATAGATTACCAAGGACAGAACGTCTGGCAGGTAGAGATTAGACTGAGAGTAACTCTGTTATCAGATTAACTAGAACAGTGTTGTCTCTCTGTGACTCTGTGTTGAGCTGCTAGTGAGCAATGAGGGGTGAAAGGAGGGGGGTGAGAACCCCCTGCTGTGAAAACAAAACTGAGATCAAATAGACAGCACAGCTGCAGCTTTCTTCACATCAAATAATCCGGTGCAACTGACACAATAGCATTTAAAATACAAAAAGTAGCACATTAAAATAAACAATAGCTTTTAAACACAACAAAAACACTTTCATAAATGTTGACTTGCTCACTCAGCTATGAAGATTTTTCTGTTTTTGTAAGTTTTGTAAGGTTTTGTAAATCACACACTTTCTACATTTCCATCTAAATATATTCCATCGACGTTATTGAAGGAAAAAATGCATAGTTCAACAAAGGGACCTCCAAAAAGAAGCACCCCCTAAAGGTTCTTTAGGGAGCCAAAGGTGGCTCTTCAACGACATCTCTATAACAAGTTATTTTCATTTGTTTTCTTAAGATCTTGTGACATTTACGTAATTATCACGGTAAAAACAAATGTTTTCTTGAGATCTTCTGATTTTAATATCAATATCACAACATAACGGACATTGTTTTATCAAGATATCATTGGTTATGTCATTACAATGGGACAAACATCTCGAGATCTTGAGAAGGCAACATTCGTTGTGTCTTGGTGATGATATAAATAACTCAAGATCTCGAGAAAACAACTTAAAATGACATTGCGAATCCATGACCCTTTAGGACTTCCGTGCTCCAAATGTTAACGTTGTAGGTGGAAGAAAGAAATGTTCTTAATGAATTCTTAAAGATTTTTCACATTTCTGTGGAATTAACAGAGTCGTTCTGAGTGGTTTGGTGTGAAATGCTCCATTCTACACTGTTAGAAATAAAGGTTCTGTGCTGGGACATTTTTCATTCATCAAGGCACAAACAATGTAAATGTTCCCTCAAAGGTACAACAATGGTTTTAAGGTCTGATTGTGATCCTTAAATAAGTTTTTCCAGGTGAAAAGTTCGTATTTGTACCTTTTCCTAACGAATGTTTTAAAACAGAACAGTAAAATAAAAGCCTGGAGGCGAGACGGGGTGTGTGGAGTCAGTACAGCTTAGAACATATCATTTCAGTGGATTATGGTTCAGTTATGTTCCCTGACTAAAGGTACTGAGATGTACCCTGGAGGGTACCACCCCAGTGACAAGAGGGGCACTGTCCCAGTGACCACCTTTTTTTTCTGAGAGTGTACAGAATTGTTCACAGTGGTGGTGATAGGAACCAGACGTCCACCTCTAAAAGCTCCCTCACAGAAAGCTATTACGTGAAATGGTTATGAATACACCGCCTGATGTCCGAGACACTGTAGCATGATAGTTATACAAGAGGGTTTTGGACTTAAATGTATTTCTAAATCCATTCGTGGTGGAGACGTGTATGCAGGGTGTTGTGAGGCAAAATAGTCCCCAAAGAGAACGTATCTTTTCAGATCTACCACAATTTTACCATCATCAACATATAAAACTCTGAAGATACATATAGGTTCACTGGTGGGTTTGAATAGTAAATAAAATAGCCATATTTGTGTTGTAGACATCATGACCCCTGGTTCCTATCACCACCACTGTAAAGAAAGCTGGTTAGTTTCTCCACAATGAACCATTTCACATCACACTCTGAATGACTTTGTTTAAATCACAACCACTGAATTATGCAGAGTGTTTGAAAAACTCAATTCCCATTCAAATTTAATGTACGTTAACATAACAAGCGTTTATTTGAAGTAACTTTGGTCCATTTCTATTGATCCATTCAAAGCAGAATGGTTACACAGTGCAAAGGCAGCTGGCGCTTGTAAACTTTTACAGGGTTTTCATCTGACAGTGATGGTACGTTTGCTCGTTTGTGTATTTGTGGTGTTAGAACTGGTGGTTAGAACACATGACGGTAGATTTGCTGTGAGTCTCTTGGTAAAGTTGTGCAGGCTGGCTGTAATCCAGTGAGCGTGCCTGCGTGTCCTCTGAAGCTTTGGTCTAAAATCAATGCTTAGTGGAGTTTTGTCTCTGCCAGCCTGAGGGATTCAGAGTTACAGTTAAAGCTCAGCAGGCTTTATGTGTAAAGTACGGAAGAGGATTGCGCTCCCAAAGTGTTTTTTCCCTTTAAAGTGACCCACGCTCAGAGGTCAGTTTGAGTGACCAGTGCATGAACTGTTCAAGCCTACACTGACAAGTATTCATTGACTTGATTCAAATGACATACATCATTTCTACACTCTAAAATGGTTCTTCAAGGGTTTTTCTTTAGTTGGTTCTATGGGGACCTATGACAAATCAAAGAACCTTCTGAGTGCATTAACAGTTCTTCTTTATGATGGAAAATCTCTATGTTGTCTATAGATCTTTAAAGAACCTTTTTAAAAGTGGTTCGCTATAGAGCCAAAAAGGGTTCTGCTACTGTTACAGGTCAATGAATTTTTTTTGGTACTATGTAGAACCCTTTTAGATGAATAAAATAAATAAAATATATTACAACAGCACTCTTTTGTCATTCTGTGCTGGTGTAATATTGTTTATGTGCACTCTTAAAAATAAAAAGGGATTCTTTGTGCACTGCCATAGAAGAACCACTTTTGGTTCCCTAAAGAACCTTTGAATAGGTGGTTCTTTAAAGAACCATTTTTGTAAATGAAACATGTGAGTGTGAAGAACTGTTTTAAGGTTTTAAGAACCTCCACACAATGTAAAGTTTTTAGAAGGAAGCTTTAACTTGGTCTAGAACCTTTCAGGTTCTTTAAACCTTTTAAAGGTTCTTTATACTCACACATCTCTTATTTAAACATGGTTCATGGCTCGCAATCATCAGATTCATCCACACAGGGAAGGGGTCTGAAGCACAACCCACGTTACCAAATGTTCTTCTGCGTGTTGTGTGTAATTACACATTTCCACCAGAGAGGTCTCCAAATCCCCAAAACTTATTTCCCCAGATCTTTCAGCTCCAGTCGTAAACCACTCTTCTGACTTTGCTTGATAGCGGTTTAATAGAATAGTGGATAACTCTACTGCCTTGAAAACGCTAGATAGCCAGTTTGATGGCAAGAAATCTCTCATATCATGTATCACCCTCACCCCACACCTCCCAACAAATATCTGTACACAGGCCTGGTGAAAACTTTTTCATCACTTTTTTTTAGTGTGCATCCACACAAAAACCATATTAGCACATCCTCTCTTGGTCAAGCGATCCACACTATGAGTGAGCTGAGCCACTGGCAGGGGAAATGACCTTGGTCAAAGAATCGACCTTAAAACAAAAAAACGTGTGGGCAAAAGCAGGCGGTCAATAGCTGCTGCTGAAAGTGCAGGCACCCAGAGGGTGACACGGTCCATCTGCCAGAACTTTTTAACTGGCTCATGTCACGGATCTTTCCTCTGTATGATCCCAAAGCCACTGTTTAACCTTCCTACCTAATGTGTCCTGCTCAGAAACCCCTGATGCTGCACCTTGCTGGTGTCAGGACCCCCATGGACCCTCACAGAGCAGGTACTATTTGGGTGGTGGATCATTCTCAGCACTGCAGTACCACTGACATGGTGGTGGTGTGTTAGTGTGTGTTGCGCTTGTCTGAGTGGATCAGACACAGCAGTGCTGCTGGAGTTTTTAAACACCTCAGTGTCACTGCTGGACTGAGAATAGTCCAACAACCAAAAAATATCCAGCCAACAGCGTCCTGTGGGCAGCGTCCTGTGACCATTGATGAAGATCTAGAGGATGACCAACACAAACTGTGCAGCAGCAGATGAGCTATCGTCTCTGACTTTACATCTACAAGGCGGACTGACAAGGTAGGAGTGTCTAATAGAGTGGACAGTGAGTGGACACAGTGTTTAAAAACTCCAGCAGCACTGCTGTGTCTGATCCACTCATACCAGCACAACACACACTAACACACCACCACCACGTCAGTGTTACTGCAGTGCTGAGAATGATCCACCATCCAAATAGTACTTGCTTTGTGAGGGTCCATGGGGGTCCTGGCCACTAAAGAACTGGGTAAAAGGGGGCTGACAAAGTATGCAGAGTACACATTAAATACACAGTAACACAGCTGAAACACTCTTTATAACTTCAGTATGAGTGGGCGGGGCTAAACTGCTGTAGATTGGACAGGTAAACATATGTAAAAGAGTGTTTCAGCTCATCTGCTCTTTGAATGAGGCACAACACAGGACAGCCAATTAGAAGAGAGTTAATTTGCATATATCATCTTAAATGCACAGTAACACAGCTGAAACACTCTTTATAACTTCAGTGTGAGTGGGCGGGGCTAAACTGCTGTAGACTGAACAGGTGAACATATGTAAAAGAGTGTTTCAGCTTGGTCTGCTTTTTGAATGAGGCACAACGCAGGACAGCCAATCAGAAGAGAGTTCATTTGCATATATGTTAAATTGTAAGGGACTAAGAGAAGTTATGCAAAAATCTGAACAAATAAATTATGACACCAATGTCATATGTGGACTTTAATCCACGGTATGCTGAGTGTCGAAACTAAAATCGCGCGCCCCCTGCTGGCCATCCCGCACATTTTCCCGCGCAGGCTCACTGCCCCTCCTGCCAATAGCCATTCCCTCCGCTCCACTTCACGCCCCTCCGCCGCTGACTGATCGATAGGCAGACAGCGAGCAGGACACAGCCTGGACCTCCTGAGTAAAACATCTCTCTATGAGTTACTCCCGGCGCGTGGCCTCCTGGTTGTTCTCCCTGCCCGCCCGTCTCGTCCAAGTATGTGCGCGCGGCGCTAAGCTGGAGATGATCTCCGTTTGGCTGCTATTCCTGAAGCTGCTGGTAGGTACCAACGATGCTGCTGAGGCTGTTTGTGCATCCATCATCACGCCTGCTCGGGCAAAAAGCTCTGCATTGCATGCGAAAGATGATGCGCGGGGGGAAAGGGGGGGAGGAGGAGGAGGAGGAGGGGGTGGATTGGCGCGCGTGCGCTGGACCACAGCATGCTTTTGCTGCCCCCTTCTCTCCAGCAACCCCCTACCCTAACTACCCCCCGTGGAGCTCGCAGTGGGCAGCGGTGTCAGCGCAAATGCCATGAGACTGAAACCGGCTTCCTATTCAACAGCTTCTTATTCGAATTTTCCGTTCCACCTTAAATGGTGCAGCAGGTACAGGTACAGAAAACTCCAACACGGTAAGAAGCGAGAAAGAAGCCAACTTGAGCTATCTGCGTTTTAAGGTGGAGCGGAACATTCCAGTGAGGAGCTGAAGAGTAAGAAGCCAACTTCACCTGTCTCTATTTTAAGGTGGAACTCTGCACCATTTAAGGGGGAATAGAACATTCAGATGAGAGGCTGGCGAGTAAAAAGACAACTTAAGCTGTCTCCATTTAAGGTGGAACACTGCACTATTTAAGGTGGAGCAGAAAAATCAAATGAGAGGCCGGCGAGTAAGAAGCCATCTTCAGCTGTCTCCACTGTTAGGTGGAATGCTGCACCATTTAAGGTGGAATGGAAAATTAAATTAGAAGCCAACTTCACCTGTCTCCATTTTAAGGTGGAACACTGCACCATTTAAGGTGGAGCAGAAAAATCAAATGAGAGGCCGGCGAGTAAGAAGCCAGCTTCAGCTGTCTCCACTGTTAGGTGGAATGCTGCACCAATTAAGGTGGAGCTGGAAAATTGAATAAGAAGCCAACTTCACCTGTCTCTATTTTAAGATGGAATGCTGCACCATTTAAGGTGGAGCGGGAAAATTAGAATAAGAAGCCAGCTTCACCTGTCTCCATTTTAAGGTGGAATACTGAACCATTTAAGGTGGAATGGAACATTTGAATAAGATGCTGGCAAGAAACACCCAACTTAAGCTGCCTCCACTTTACGGTGGAACACTGCAGCATTTAAGGTGGAGTGGAAAAGTTGAGTAAGATGCTGGTGAATAAGAAGCCAAATTCATCTGTCTCTATTATATATGGCATTTGAGCTGCAAACAGGAGCTAAATGAGCTAAACTATGTTAATATATATTAGTGATGCTAGTGATGTTTGCAGCTCCACAGTAGGAAAGAAAATGTATAATTTGTATATAATAAATTATGACAATAATATAGGCTAACCCCTCCCCAAAAAGAAGTCAAAAACCTAAATGTTTTCTGTATCGATCACTGATGCACACCAAATAATTAATGCAGCCTTAAGAATGAGACAAGTAGGAGTGTTCATCAGTATTTTATAGCCCTTCTTTAAGCCTTGATTGCCGCAGACTGTTTTGTCATATTTTCTTTAAAAGGATTGCTTCACAGTTTGGCCTGTATTATGGTTTATTCAAATACATTGATTGAAAATCAAACATTGATGCCTGCTTTGAGAAACTGTATATGCAGCTCAGCAGCTCTCTTATCTCGATCCACTTACTGCTCTCTGTTTCCCTTGCACCGCCTTTTCAGTGTGTTTGTTATTCTGCCATCCTCTCGCTCTTCATCATTAGTCGGTTTCAGGCCACAGGACTGCTGTTGGCTGTTGGACTGTTCTGACGTAGTTTAATATACATGATGACTCTTTTAAACCAGGTCTGTAGGAATAATGTTAGAATTTAAAGGAGAATTACACTGATTGTTCAAAATTTACATCCATTGGTGTGAAATGGCTCATTGTAGAGAAACGTAAAGGCTCAGATTTCTTTACAGTGGTGGTGATAGGAACCAGGGGTCACCATGACTACAACACAAATATAGACATTTTATTTACTATCCAAAGCCACCAGTAAACCTACACGAGTCTTCTGAGCTTTACATGTAATGTTGATGATGGTAAAATAGTGGAACATCTGGAAAATTTCTTTGGGGACTATTTTGCCTCACATCACCCATGTACCTCTCTGCCATGAACAGACTGAAGAAAAAGGTTTACGCCAAAATCTTATTTCAGATCAATCATAAAACAATGTCTCAGACATCAGGCATCATATTCATGACAGCTGAATATAATATCTTTCTATGAGGGAGCTTTTAGAGGTGGACATCTGGCTCCTATCACCACCACTGTGAACACATTTTTTGAAAAATGAATGGAATAAATATCTTTAATAGTGAAAAGACATTTTCAGACGTTTAATTTAAAATCTACTTTAAGACTTGTTTTTAAATGAGGCGTTCTTCACTGCTGCCCACAGGCTACTTTTAATAACTGTATTTTTCTTCTCCCCAAATTTCCCTGCATAGTCCCACAAGGTACCGCTGGTGCTGGCTATGTCATCACCTGATTGTCCTCCTCCTCAAACTGCCCCCTCAGTTGATGAGCAGTGTGGCAGCCTGCACTGTCTTTTCAGAGTATCCAGTCATTTTTTAGACTTTCCTGCTTTATGTGAAGGAGAACATATAGATACATAAAATGTTTCTTTTTTTAGTAAAGAGAATCGTTCTATATAGAACCATGAGTTCTATATAGAACCATTTCATGCTTAAATTGTGAACTGGTTCCTCATATTCATGGAAAATGTGCTATATATGGTTCTGTATAGAGCTTTTTTGTAAATGATTCTATATAGCCCTAAAAAGGGTTCTGATATTGTGATGATGTCAAGCTTGTTACAATAGAAGACCCCTTTTTGGTGCTAAATATATTTAGTGCTATTTAGTTCTACGTAGAACAATCTAGCACCATATATAGCACCAAAAAGGGTTCTTCTATTGTCACAAAGTCAGGCTTGTTACAATAGAAGAACCCTTTTTGGTGCTAAATATATTTGGTGCTATTTAGTTCTACGTAGAACAATCTAGCACCATATATAGCACCAAAAAGGGTTCTTCTATAGTTACGAAGTCAGGCTTGTTACAATGGAAGAACCCTTTTTGGTGCTAAATATATTTGGTGCTATTTAGTTCTACGTAGAACAATCTAGCACCATATATAGCACCAAAAAGGGTTGTTCTATTGTTACGATGTCAGGCTTGTTACAATGGAAGAACTCTTTTTGTGCTAAAAAGAACAATTAAAAAAGTTCTATAATAGAACCATATACAACACATTCTCCATCAATCTGAGGAGCCATGCCACCATGCAAAGAACTATTTAAGCACGAAAAGGTTCTATGTAGAACTCATGGTTCTAAATAGAGGCATTGCCTTTACTAAAGAACCCTTGAAGAACCACCTTTCTTTAAGAGTGAGCTGCTAAACAGTCTGACTGCCAGTCTGTATGCCTTTTGGGTGGAGGTGAGGAAGTGCTTTATATAGTGTTTATATTATGTGGTGAAATAATTCTTGTTATTTATTTTTATTTTATTTGATTTCTTAGACAAGTTTTAACACAAAATTTAGTGAAATACATAAGGAGGAGAGCTAATTAGAGTCAGTTTCAGCACAACAAACACATAGTGATACAACGTGAGATTAACAAGAAAGAATGAGCTGTAATAGAAGGCTGTATCCTAATATCTTGGCTGTCTATTATAGGACACTGAGTTATGAATTATATGGTTTAGGTCAGGCATGTCAAACTGGGGACCTTCTGGGGCCAAAGTGCTGCAGAGATTAACGTTTACCCTCATCTTATCCTCTGAATTCAGTTCATGAATGCTTAGCTAATTATTTGATGAGCTGAATCGGGTGTGTTTAATTGAGGTTGTTTGCTGAAGTCTGCAGTGTTTTGGCCTGCGAGGACTCGAGCCTGACACATGTGGTTTAGGTTATACAGGTTTTTTGTTGCTGACAGGAATCATTTCGGCCAATTCAATTCAGTTGAACTGTATTTATACCAGAACAACATGGCAAAAAGCTAGCTTTCTCACTGTTCTCACTAGTGCAACATGTAGGATTTACATAGCAATTTAAAGATGCAAACAGTTTAGGCAAATACTAAAGTGCTGGACAGTAAACAAACTGACAGTTCAGGTAGTAATTTAGAATGATTGATATAATGTTTAAAGCACATGTAAAATATAAGTATTTATAAAATAACTCACAATTCATTGCATAGTTTTATTTACTTAATTGGGATAAATCACACTGACCCCAAAAAAAGATTTTTTCTCTAAATTTCACCCTAAATGGGCGGGGCTAAACTGCTGTACTCCAAATAGATGGATATATGTAAATGTGTTGGATTTCACGCATCACAAAAGCAACAAGTTCAAAACAGGTTGTTTTTGCAGCTTAGATTCCGTCTATATGAACTGTATGAATTAGAGACTGAACCATATATTTTTTTAAAGCTGCACTAAGTAAGATTTTATGTTAGAATTGAAATAAGCAGCATTACTGAGTCATGAGTAAAAAATAAAAGCCTAAAATATAGTGAGTGTGCGCTGCTGTGAGTTGCTCTGTAAAAGCTGAAATAATTATTAAAAAGTCAGAGGCGTCGGGTCGGAGGTTTTTTACACTACGTCGTACATGTTTATGCATTAACGTCACCTGCAAAGGCTCAAAAAGAAGGTCCAGCTCGATGGTTACGTCTCAAATGATGTCAAAATCAACATTATAGATAGACAGATAGATAAATAAACAAAGTGGCAGTGTAATAATAGTGACAATAGTAGATAAATCGCTCACATCCTCAGAAGACACGTCCTTCACCCAAGTTTTGACTTTGTTCTCTTTGAATTCTCTTTCAATGCACTCGCAATCATCCGCTCGGGGAAGGGTCCGAAGCACAACCCACGTAATTACACATTCCCACCAGAGAGGTCGTCAATTCCCCAAAACTTATTAGATATTTTTCCCCAAATCATTCGGCTATAGTCAAATGTCATACGTCTGACTCCTTTTGCTAGCAGAAATGGTAGAAAATGTTTTTCTGCATGTTGCACTCAATTACACAGTTCCACCAGAGGGGTCTCCAAATCCCCAAAACTTACATAGTGCAGCTTTGAAAAGGTGAGGAGGTTTTTCATGATACAAGGGACTTTTGCCTCTCTCTGACGGTCTTTCCTGCTCTTGAGCTGCAGATTTATCCTCAGAATAAAAGTAAGAGGAAGGTCATGTTGGGGATTTGAACCCAGATTATCTCAACTGGATTTTCACATTTACAGGCAGACAGGAGTGAATCTATTTCAGTACCAACGGAGCAGTGATTGGGTAACAGCAGGTGACATCACAGCGGTGTCCGCGCACCAGCACCTTGCTCTGGGTGAGAGGAGGCTGTACAGACTGACTGAGCAAACTCGATTTCCAAAACAGACAGGGAGTATTTGAGGTGACTGATGGTCACGCATCATCAGCGGTCAAGCAGAAGAGGACATGCTGCCCTTTTGATCCAATAATGTGAATAGATTTTTATTCGTGCCCCGATTTCCTTTCTTTCACAGTTATCCCACATAAAACCGATGAGATGGATTAACGAGCCGTGGCTCGACAGAGCCTGGCACTCTAAATCAGCAAAAACGATTTGCTGGCTGCACATTCAAATAGTTGGTGTTCTTTAGCAATAAGCGCGGCTGCTGGATGGATTCCCCTCACATGCACTGGGAAGATCGTGTTTCCAAGCAACCATTTCTTACTGTTTCTGAATTTTGACACCAAGAACTGACACTCAGTAAACATATTCTTGAGCGAAAAAGCGCAATGTTGGTACTACTGTGTTACAGAGTTAAAGAGCAGATTCTGACCGTGGAACTTCATCATTTTATTTTAGACCAAAAAGAGAAGAACAGAGTCTGATAATCTTCAGGTCCTATGCTGAGAGATACTTGATGTACTAAGAGGCTCCACTGCAGAAACAATATTCTGGCCCTCTGTATATGAAGTGATAGTCCCCTAAAGATTGTTTACATTTTTTCAATTATTAACAAAATGTCATGAAAGTTGTTTCTCAACAGCATTAAGGTTAGACTTAGGATTAGTACCAAGGTTTGGTTTAGGACCAGGGGACCAGGGTGAGGATTAGGATTAGGTTTGGGGTTAATGGTTAGGTTTAAACCAAATGCGCTCTCTCTCTCTTTCTCTCTCTCTCTCTCTCTCTCTCTCTATATATATATATATATATATATAGAGAGAGAGAGAGAGAGAGAGATAGAGAGAGATACTGATACTGAAATGAACCAACAGAAATGAATGAACTGAATGAACCAACAGAAATGGCCAAAATGACTTGGAAAAAAGTCTGGTTCCATTGACTTACATTAAAAGCACAGAAGGTTTTTTAGGATTTTTTCCTTCTTTATCATTTTGGAGATTTGAGGTTTTGTTACGACATCAGCGATATATATAGTCTAGGGTTCTATATAGGGTTCTATATAGCACCAAAAAGGGTTCTTCTATTGTTATATTGTCAGACTTGTTACAATAGAAGAACCCTTTTTGGTGCTAAATATATATGGTGCTATTTGGTTCTATATAGAACCATCTACAGCACATTCTACTCCAGTCTGAACTTTTGCAATGCGAAGAACCCTTTAATCATGCAAAGGGTCCTTTGAGTGTTCATGGTTTTATATAGAACCGTTTTCTTCACTAAAGAGCCTTTGAAGGTCCAGCATTTATAAGTGTGTAGAGTTTATATGCAGAATGATAAATGAATAAATATGGGCTGATACAATAGAATTGTGAATAAATTTAAATGAGTATAGCTGCAGGTAATAGTATAAATGTTAGTACACTAAAAGTGCTGTGTGTATATAAGTTATAAATATATAGATGTTGGCCTGTATGCATAACTTATATAACAAAATGACACAGTTACAGTGTTAGGAGTCTTGCCCAAGGATTATTATTGCCATTATTGGTGTTGCATTGTATGCTTGCCCAGGCATGGAATCAAACCCTAGTAATACTATGTAAAGTATTACATGTACATGTTTGTACAAACAGGACAGGATATTACCCTGGTATATACAGTCATATGCAAAAGTTTAAACACCATACATCTTCTAAACCGCTTATCCTTCTGGGTGGGGTGCTGGAGCCTATCCCAGCTGTCATTGGGCAGAAGGCAGGATACACTCTGGACAGGTCGCCAGTCCATTGCAGGGCAGACAGGCAGACAGACAGACATACACAGTCACACTCACACCTAGGGGCAATTTAGCATGTCCAATCAGCCTGACTGCATGTTTTTGGACTGTGGGAGGAAACGCACGCAGACACAGGGAGAACAGGCAAACTCCACACAGAAAGGACCCCGGGTGGGAATTGAACCCAGGCCATTTTTGCTGTGAGGCGACAGCGCTACCCACTGCGCCACGGTCCCGCCCTGTTTTGTTGATTTTCTAAGTGAAAATGAGTTAACACATTCTCTACAGTAAACAAACTCAAATATGGCAATTTTCAACAAATTTTAGTGTACAATTTCTATTTATCTGCTGAGTTTAACATAGTAGAAAAAATAAAACATAACATATTAAATGTGTTATATCTTTTGCACAGGTCACATTTTATGTTTAATTCCATAAACAGTAATTGTGCATTAAAATGTGCAGAAGTGTGTTCTCTGTAGAGGTTGTGTAACTTATTTTCACTTAGAAAATCAACCAAACTCACTTAGCATATATGTACTTACATATCGCTGTTGTCAGAAGAAAACCATGTATCGCCAAAATGGCAACTTTACAGGAGAAGGAAAAAACCTACTTTACATTTAATGTAAGTCAATGGAACCAGAATTTTTTCCAAGTCACTTAGGGCCGTTTCTTTTGGTCCATTCATCATGAAATTTACACACAATGTAAAGGACAACAGGTATTTTCAAATTATGACAAAAACTGAAAAAACGACAAAAATGGAGATATGAGGTTTTCTTCCGACAGCAGCGATATATTTAATACATATGGGGCATATTATTATTATTATTATTATTATTATTATTATTATTATTATATCCAATATATGAAAGGTTTTGTTGCAAAGCGTAACATAGACCACTTTTATTTAGTTTTTGTGATATTGGGATATTGAGATATTATATTATATAAGTGCTATATCATGAATAATACCACCTTAATTAGAGAAATATAAATGTGTTTTCCATTAGTCAGCTGTTACAGTTAACCAAATATATCCAAAGTTGTTACAAATACAGCATTTTGGAAGGAAAGTCCTCACACATATATATAGCATTATCATGGTCGAAAGCAGAACAAATTTTAAAAAGGCTTTGATAGGACAGTGCTATGGTAACTGCTTTTGTGATAACGAAGGTCCATTCGGTGGTTGAACAAAGGGGCAGGAGATTAATCTCTCGAGATAAGACTGCAAACCACATAGAAATGACGATTAAAGAGAGGATAAAAACAACACAGTTGGAATAATTGGAAGTCTTTCCAGTTCAGCTCTAATGCAATACTGCTTTACCCCATTTGAGCATATTTCATGTGCGCCCACCTTTGCATAGGATCACTAAGAAGCATCCAGGAGTCCAGCACATTTCGCTGCTCGAACAATCTGCCTTAACCTGGCATTTAACTGATTCGATGAATCAGGTGTGTCTGGGTGGGGAAATCAGCAAAATTGCCCCCAAGACCAGAGTTTCCCATCCCTGCTTTCATTATAATAAGGAAGAGTCTAAATGAGAAGTATAAAAGAGAAGAGCGGAGTACAAAGACTGCACAAACTAACCTCATTACAATAGATATGAAGAGAAGACAAATCCTCAAAAATTCAACATATAAACCATAGATTTCCACCAAGCTTTAACGCAGTGTTTTAGTGCGAACTCCAATTGTCCTGTGGACAGAGCTGCCTGTCTTCCTATATACTTTTTGCTATTGCAGCATTGATCTGAAAAGAGGTTTTGCAGGAATATTTTTGACATCCACATATGTCCTCTGGTGGTCACGTGTTTAGCATTCAGCTCTGTTTAGCTTTGAGGCCAATAAAACTCCCTTTAATGTGAATTCTCAGCCCACTTAGACAGATTCCATGCTCGGTTTGAAACCTGTCTCATGGTGATTTACGCTATCAAAGACGTCCGCCCACCTCTCATGTCTTGCAGCAGGACGAGCAGTGCAGCTCGATGAAATTAAAGTGACATGGTTTACCTTCACCGAAACAGCTGGTCCACCTACTTAACCCCTCATCAAGTTCTAATCAATCATCTCTCATACATCAAAGCAAGAAGGAGTGCATGTGTTGATCTGTGATGCGGTTGTTGTTGTTGCAAGTCTCTCCCACTTGTGTGTTTTCCTCATTCTAAGCAGATCCTTTTCAATCTTACTTTCATAGAGAGCCACAGCTGGTGTGAAAAGGCCAAATGGGAGTGAAATAAATGAAGGCAGGAAAGACTCTTTAAATCAGCAACAAAAAGAGCAAGAATACCTCTCCGAGGCTGTCGCCATGGAGACCAGCCAGCTTTCAGAAATGGCTGATCTAAAAGACTATAAAATGGATCTGGGGGACACAGAAGAGGATAAATGCCAGCGGAGTGAGGAGGATGGGAGAGATGAGAGAGGCTGCTTCGATGCACATTTCCCCGAATGCCTAGATACTGAAAAGATCAACTCCGCCATCGCAGACGAGCAAAAAAGCAACGAGGTAGCCAATGATTGTGTGAGCTCTGAGGAAACCGACAGAAGCGCAGACCTGCAGGACAACATCATGGTAAAGGAGACTGAGAAAGAGGAGCCAAATCTCAGAGAATCCACACCATCTCCAGAGCCAGATACAGACCACCATGCCCAAGACCAGCCAGTGGAAGAAGGAGAAGATGACAACCCACCCACATTGGATGCAAATGGAACAGAGCACCAAGACCTGCAAGAAAGTCTGACAACAGGCCAAGAAGACAACAACACATCCACTTTTGATGCCAATGGGACAGAGCCCCAGGAACCGCTGGACAAACAAACAACAGAGCAAGAAGACAACAACCCATTAAATGTTGATGCAAATGTGGAAGAACACCAAGAACCACAGGACAGTCCAACAATAGAGCAAGAAGACAACAACCCATTAAATGTTGATGCAAATGTAGAAGAACACCAAGAACCACAGGACAGTCCAACAATAGAGCAAGAAGACAACAACCCATTAAATGTTGATGCAAATGTAGAAGAACACCAAGAACCACAGGACAGTCCAACAATAGAGCAAGAAGACAACACCTAGTCCGATTTTGATGCTAATGTGGCAGAGCACCAAGAACCACATGAAAGTCTGAAAGTAGAGCAAGAAGATGACACCCAGTCCCCTTTTGATGCCAGTGGGGCAGAGCACCAAGAACCACAAGGAAGTCTGAAAGCAGAGCAAGAAGACAACCTATCTGCTTTTGATGGGACAGAGCACCACAAACTACAAGAAAGTCCAAAAATAGAGCAAGAATCTGTATTGGAGCAGCAAATCAAGGAACTAGCCATTTCTGATGCCTCCACAGAATCGTGCCACGATAATGACCCGAGATGATCTGAGTGACTGTCTGCAAGTGGAGATGGCTATTGTTTCATCAGACAGTGATGCAGAAGAGCAATGGAAGTCCATGGTTTCTCCTGCTGTTGAAAACGAGAATGATAATGATGGCATTCTTGGGTCAGATCCACCTGATGTTAGTGAGGAGCCAAACAACCAAGAAGATGTAAACGAGGAAGACAGCAGTATTCTACTGGAAAGTAATGCTACACATGAGGATGAACTTCTGGAAGAAACCACAGAAAGCATCGATATCTTAGAACAGCCAGAATGTCCCACAGAATGTGAGCTGGAAGACCTTTCGTATGAGGGATCCATACACTACCGAAGTTTAACGAAGATCCCAGAGGATGAGGAGGATCTCAACCAAAACGCAAAGCACAGCCTGCAGCGTTTGTCTGCCTCAACCTCTGAGCTTGACAAGAAGTTACCACAAGACTACTGCGTGATTGAGGAGGCAAAGAGCGAGAATGTCAGTACCGAACATCTGGACTTTAGGATGGCTCGTCAGCAGTGGAAGAAGATGGAAGAGCAGAATAAGGGCCAATTGCGCCAGCCCAACATCAAGCAGGGTACTTGTCAGGGTGGCCATAGCTTCATGTACACACCTGTGCGTACCCTAGAGCGTCCCAAGAAAGACCAAGATTCAGACAGTCTAAGTCTTGGTGATTACCAGTACACCCAGTTTAGCCCTTGCTCAGAAGACTCTGGGCTGGATGACACAAGCTACAGGTCTCCTTATGACGAACCAGAAACTCCAGTTGAGAGGGAGATACGTGAGACTATGGAGCGAGAAGAATCTTTCAGACGAGAGAGGGCCCTGTCAAGATCATCTTCTGGTGAACCTGTAGAAAGCAAACCCAGACCAACCACTTTGCTGGCAAGCAGATCAGACCCAGACGATAAAAGAAAGATGTTTAATACACCTGAAGACAGATGCAGGTCACAGAGATCGCCCAGCGCCAGAACCCCAACTTTATCCATCACTGCTTCACCATCATCAAAACCAGCGTACCATGAGATGGTGGCTAACAACGTCATCATCCTCGAGCCAGATTCTTATTCCGCAAGCCCAAGGCACAGGGGGAAGGGTCTTCTCTCTCCAGGGACAAGCAGTTTCCATGAGTGGCCCTCAGACATGAGCAATGTTATCATATTGGAAACATCAAATCTCATCATCCGAAGTGCATCAGAGTTCTGCCTGAGCACTGCATGCCAGGAGACTCAAGAGAGCACCTTCCATAATAATCCCTTCTTCAAACTGAGGTCACACAGCACACAGTCTCTGGTGGACCAGGAGATCAAAGTGGTGAGGCAGAGAGATGAGGAGTTCAGGAGACAGAGGGCACAGTTGTACACTAAAGAGAAGTACGACACTGTCCTGGTGTCTCCCAGCTTGCTGGAAAGTTTTACCTACGACCGACCAGGTATAAAGTAATGTGTTTCCCTTTGACTGTCTTGAACAATCTTAGATAGTTCCATTAAAATCAGTGAGAGGCTTAAAACAAATACAACAAAATCTAACAAATTATGCCATGGATTGCACAAATGTATTAACCACCATTAACAAGCACAGTGTTCATCAAAGTAATTGCAGTTATCCTTTTGTGACTATCCTACAGCCCAACAAACAGATTCATATTTAAAATGTGTGCCAAAAATGTGTGCCAATTTATGAAGAACTGAGGCAGGTAAAGGTAAATAAATGTTTACTATTTTATATTTGTCCTTTTGCAGGAGAGATACCATCAAAATGCAAGTCCTCCCCTTCCTCCCCTTCAAAGATACGCAAAATGGACCGTTCCGTTTTGTCCTGCGATCAGAAGGTATTTCACATTTAATGTGTTTCTCTTGTGTCTCACTGTGAACAGTTTGGTTAATTAACTATCTTTAGTTATATTCACACTAAAAACCAGATAAAAAATGTTGTCTGATTACCATGGCTAGCATAATGCTACCCTGTACCTTTAATGCTACCCTGTACCTTTATGGAAGAGCAGAATAAGGGCCAATTGCGCCAGCCCAACATCAAGCAGGGTACTTGTCAGGGTGGCCATAGCTTCATGTACACACCTGTGCGTACCCTAGAGCATCCCAAGAAAGACCAAGATTCAGACAGTCTAAGTCTTGGTGATTACCAGTACACCCAGTTTACCAGTACACCCAGTTTAGCCCTTGCTCAAGTTTAAGTCTTTACTGAAGGAAAAGGAATGATTCCTTCAGTAAAGACTTAAAATTAAAGCCTGTCTGTGAATATTATTGGAGGAGCCTGTTAACATATTAGCTATCTGCTGAGCTCCTCAACTTACTCTAACAAAAGCCAAATATATTCCAGTTACAGAGAATTGAGAGTGTAGACTAGTTACAGACGGCCGGCTATCAGCTTCCAGAAGTCTTACATTATTTTTAAACCACTCTTCTAAAAATAATTACTTGTGATTGTAAGTAATTAAGTAATAGAACAATATCTTGTCATTAATTTATCAGTCATATATTTATCTTTTTTTTTTAGATAAATGTTTTTCATACCTGTAGGAGCCTCCCTCCTTGTAAATTTCAACATCTGGGTCTAAAACCCCATTCGCCTGTGGCAATTTATGCTACTCACTGAATTATGATTGCTAATATGTGCATGCAATCCCTTTAATTAGATGAGGATCCCAGCTGTTCACAGATTTTTGAGTTTGTTCTTCTGATGTCTGTTATTTGGATGCATCTGTATAATTCAGTGTTTGTAAGTCCTGTGTAAGTCCCATGATCTGTGTACCATGTATAGTGCCTTGCGAAAGTATTCAACCCCATTAAAAGTCATCAGATTGGATTACAACTGACACACAGATTGTTTCAGAGAGTATTTTATTGCAACCAATGTTCTCTTAAAACACATTTTCAGAGTCAAAATTCTTAAAAAAAAAATCAAAAAACTGAAACATGCTGCTTACTTAGGTATTCAACCTCTACAGACCAGCACAGCTTTAAGTCTGTGGGGGCAAGTTTCTACCAGCTTTGCCCTCTGTTTTAGAGAGAGTTTCACCCCTTATTCCCAGCAGATTTGCTCCAGGTTGTTCAGGTTGGACGGATGACACTTATGAACTGCAGTATTCAAATAGTGGCACATACTTTGACTTGGCCATTGTAGAACATTCACCACTTTGTTGTTCAACCACTCCTGAGATGCTTTGCCCTTTGGTGTCCGGGATTATTGTAATGCTGAACTTTTCTCCCAAGCTTTAATTTTTTAGCAGACTGAAGCAGGTTGTATTGCAGTGTCTCCCTGTGTTTTGCACCATCCATCCATCCTTCAGTTTTAACAAGATGCTCAGCCCTCGCTGAGGAAAAGCTGGGACTGTTTCTGTTGAGTTGTGGACGTCAGGTCTGCATGCCTAGTGTTTTGAATTTTGGCCGAAAAACTAAGTTGTTTGCCTCATCTGACCACAAAACCTTATCTCACATCTTAGCTGGATCACTCTTGATGATTTCTGGCAAATTCCAGATGTGTGCTGATGTGTTTTATTTATAATAATGGCTTCTTTTTAGCCACCATATAGGCCAGATATATGCTGAGCTCTTGATATCATTGACTGGAGCTTCACTCCAGTCTCACCCACTGAGCTCTGGAGCTCTGTAGCTCCTTCAGGGTGATTGTTGGAGTCCCTTTCTTGCTCTGACGCTGAGTTTTAAGGGACGGCCTTGTCTAGGGGGTCTTTTATCCAGAAATGGAAGTTTTTTAAAAATTCACAAGCAGAGGTCATTTGTAAGCCACTTCTGTCCTTTTCTATCTTAAAGTTGGAGCTTCCAAAGTACTGGAGTTCTTATTCAAACAGCATTTTTTTAGGTTTTTTAGTCATTTTTCTTAGAGAATATTTTCTGTAACAATTCATTTTAGGAGTCAGTCTTTTAAAATAAAATATGCACAAAATATCAGTGTCATTTGTGATCCGGATGCATCACATGATCTTTTAAGTAGGTTGAGTACTTTCGGAAGGGACTGTATAATATCATACTCTGGGACATTCTTTTGATTTTAATGTGAATCTGTGTTAAATGTCTGGACCTTAAATCGCCTCCCAACCACCATGCAGTATCCCCTACTGTTCCCAAACACTGTTGACTCGCTATTAAACTGTGCACATTTCACCTTGAAACTGGAAACTGCATGCAGTTTTACAGGTGAAACTCTCCCCTTCAGTTCCCCGAGGCACCTTTCACCGGAGTCCGGCGGAAAAGTGCCCTGGTTCAGAGATGGGAAGCAGGGATCTTCGCCAATCATCAAAAGGACTGAAGGATGGCGCTAACCGCACAAAGCAAATATGGTATATGCATTCGGCTATTTAGCATTAAATTAAGTGTTTGGTCTGTCAGCTGGATGTCATTCTTCTGAAGTGAGCGTTAAAAAGTCAAGGCGTGACGTTGATCTTTTTACATATTTTGATGTACTGTCACATGACGGCAAATGCGTTTATGGTATTTTCATACTATATTTTCTCCTTGATAAATTTTGTAGGATGACATGAAGCACAATTTATAACGGGACTAATATAACGTCGTATTTTAAAACGGACAAAGAAAGAAAGGACGAGACAATAACAATGCCAAACATGATTTTTATTATTTGAATTTAATGAGATGAATTCTTTGAATAACTGTCATTTTTGAGCCTTAGGTTATAGGTTTACATAGAGTTATTTCCACAAGTGACTTCTCGATTTATTCCTTATTTGAGCTGATGTAGAATGCAGAAAAGAAGTAGTCCTAGCAGAGCCTGCCGGATGTTTAATTTAAGACACATGCAGATGAACAGACAAAGCAAAACCAGTGAATGTTTACCAGACTGTCAATGCAAGTACTGTAGTTATTTTCAGCCTTGGTGTTGATCCATTAGATATCGATAACGGTTGCGCTTTTTTTGCACTGAATGTTTTGCTTTGTGAACTTTTTGAACTGTTGATGTTTTTGAGCAATGATTCTTGCCTGCTAAATACAGTAACGACATCATTTATTATTCTTGTCAGCAAATAATTATAGGAGAAGAGTATATGTAGATGTTCATTATGCGTTATTATTTGGTTTGTGGCAGATGGTTCATTAATACAGAACTTGATTTTTTTCCCCTTACAGTATTTTCAATGCAGCCTATTCATTTATCCTTGAAATAAAGAGATATTAATTACTGAAACTGGTTTGTGTTGTTGCTCATATAAGTCGTTGAGCCTTCCTTGTCCTGAAATGTTGTTACCGGTGAGTCCAGAAACGTCGGTCATATTGCACTGATGGAGCAGAGGAGAGAGATACAGAACAGCAAGCTTCCAGTAACAAAAACAGCAAGGATGATCACTTTAAACCTGGTGTCCTGTGGAGAGTAGGATGTGTGTTAGTGCCATTTCTCCTCTATACATACTCTGTAGGCCTACAGCCTGATCTGCTTTCACATTTATAATAAATAATAAATATGTTGTATTTATATAGCACCATTTTAACAGAGGTTTACATAGTGTCTGACAGAGTGCCTAAAACAAGCACAGCACAGATGAAAAAGACTGAAATAAAAGATAAAATTTATATTAAATACAGAGTGAAAAAAAGACTAAATGATTTAAAGGGGCAGTCTAGCTACAATGAAAAACATAACCATGGATACAGCTGTTGTAAACACGCCTACTCTCCTCTCACACAGACGCTGCAGTGATCCTTTTCCTGTCTAAAAACTATGAAAAACCCCTTCTGATTATGTGTTGAAGGTGGATGTAAATTTTGAAAGACTACAACTGCTTTGGGGAGATCTTGGGGCGAAATTATTATTATTATTATTATTATTATTATTATTATTTCGCAAGCTGGATGAATTTTTAACTTAACAAAACATCAAGATGCTTGCTAGAATGTTGCTTTGTGGTTGCCGGGGAATTGCTATGCAGTTACCTCTCCTGGTTGCTATGGTGTTTCAGATGTTTGCTAGGGTATTGTTAAGTGGTTCCTATGGTATTCCAGTTGTTTCCTAGGGTATTGTTAAATTGTTGCTATGGTGCTCCAGTTGGTTGCTTGGGTATTGTTAAGTGGTTGCTATGGTGTTCCAGTTTGTCGCTAGGGTATTGTTAAGTGGTTGCTAGGGTGCTCCAGTTGGTTGGTAGGGTATTGTTAAGTGGTTGCAAGGGTATTGTTAAGTGGTTGCTATAGTGCTCCTGTTGGTTGCTTGGGTTTTCTTAAGTGGTTGCTAGAGTGCTCCAGTTGGTTGCTAGGGTACTGTTAAGTGGTTGCAAGGGTATTGTTAAGTGGTTGCTATAGTGCTCCTGTTGTTTGCTAGGGTATTGTTAAGTGGTTGCTTGGGTATTGTTAAGTGGTTGCTAGGGTGCTCCAGTTGATTGCTAGGGTATTGTTAAGTGGTTGCAAGGGTATTGTTAAGTGGTTGCTATAGTGCTCCAGTTGGTTGCTTGGGTATTGTTAAGTGATTGCTAGGGTATTGTTAAGTGGTTGCTATGGTATTCCAGTTGTTTGCTAGGGTATGTTAAGTGGTTGCCATGGTATTCCAGTTGTTTGGTTGCTTTGGTGTTCCAGTTGGTTGCTTGGGTATTGTTAAGTGGTTGCTATGGTGTTGCTAAGCAGCTGCTAATGTATCCAAGATGGTTGCTAAAATATTACAAAAGTGTTTAAGGTGGTTGCTAGGGTATGGTTAGGTCTTTGCTATGTTATCCTAGGTGGTTGCTAAGGTGTTGCTAGACAGGTGCTATGGTATCTCAAGTGATTGCTAGCGTATTGTTTGGTGGTTCATATGTTATTTACTGTGGTTGCTCGGGTGTTGCTTTGTTGTTGCTGTGCTATTGGTGGTGGTCGATAAGGCATTACTATGCAGTTATGATGATATCTCTCATGGTTGCTATGAGGTTGCTATAGTATTCCAGCTGGTTGCTAGAGTATTGGTAAGTGGCTGCTGTGGTATTCTTGGTGGGTGCTAAGCTGTTGCTACGTGGTTGCTATGGTAATGAAAGTGGCAGGTTTGGATTCTGGCAGAAAAATAATAAGAAAAAGAAGAAGTAGAATATAAATCTGATAACAGTAGCGATGCACAATCACTAATAACATATTACGTGGCTAGAATGCCCCTTTAAATAAAATACAAAGGGAGAAAAGAAAAAAATGGATGATAAAACATGTAAAACGGAAGGAACCGATTCTGTTTGAATGCAGTATTAAATATGTGTGCTGTAAGGTGCTTTGTAAGTCTAAGAGTGCCAATTTGCATCTTTATTTCAGCTTGGCAGCACTTAAACCACTGACAAAGCACATTAGACTCAGCATGGAATGCTCCATAATTTAGCAGGCTAATTGGTAATCCTTAGGTGTTGCCTTCTTGGATAAAGTTAAAGGCAAATCTAAAATGAATATTATTAATATAAACGTCCTTATACTGCAGTCTTACCCAGTTTCTGCTCATTGCAGGATTTGAGAGAATGGCATGTTCATCAGGACAGTTACTGCCTATAGACAGAGGCAAAATAAACACAAATCATGCACCCATCTGAATATTTAACCAAATGAACATCAGATATCTTGCAAAACGTGGTGACATAATCCTAATAATGAATCATTCATGCAGTTAACACACATGGTACAAATGCTTAACAAATGCTTTGAGTAGATTTTAAACGGTTAATATCTGAAAACCATCATATCCACATTAAGTAAACACACTACATTTTATACATATTGGTCTTTCAGTTTACTTACTTTTGGCCAAAATTGTGTTGATGAAATACATTTTATTCAGGTGGAAATGATCAATTCAATGGGCCGTTTTTATTTTTTTTTCAGTGTACTGTACTGACCTCGCTCACAGAGACCTCTTCTGTGTACTAACAGGATCAGCTTAGACAGTGCCACCCAAATAACAAACCCAGAGAGAACCCCAGTGGTCCAGGGGAAAGGAAGAAGCAGAGACTGCTGTCGCATCCCAACAAACACGGCAACCACTGTGAAAAAGGAATTTCGATAAGTCACCAATGCAATAATTAATGCATATTATTACAAATAAGGAAACCAGATTTTACCTGCAAACACTTCTGCAGCATTTCCCACTCCCCAGTGCAGCCAGTTGAATATCCACCTCCTGAGGAAATACAGGGGATTTTGTAGTTTTTACTATATTTTGTATTTTTACTACATATTGTACTGTATTTGCTATACGTTTGCTTAGATTTCAACCGATATGCAACTGAGAAAAAAGCACAGACTTAACTTGACTTAAATGTGTACATCAGTTCCACATGAATAAGATATATTACATCAACTTAATTCTTGCCAAAAGTGAGTAAACTGAAAGAAAACATTGAGATGATGTAACGTATTGTCATGTTGGGTTGGAATAAGATGCAGGAAACATTGCGCTTTAAAGGCAAATGCTCTTTTGTTGAACAGGCAGCAGGAGAGAACCACCACTTAGCGTTAGCTGACAAGGCCGTCCACTCTCACTTCACAGTAGACACTTAACTCTGGCAGTGCTACCCCACAGCCCAGCGCAGCATAGCACAAATAACATGTCCACATCTTTAACTGACCAACAACTTGTTCACAATAAAGTCTCTCCAACCGCAAGCATGGCGCCTCCTGAGAGCCTTCGCACATGTCCGTTTGGTTCATTTGTAGTTGCTAGGTGGTTGCTATGGTGTCCTTGGCAGTTGCTTATCGGTTGCTAGGCGGTTGCTATGGTTTCAGTCAGGGGTCCTAAACGGTTGCTATGGGGTCCTAGGTGGTTGATAAGTGGTTGCTAGGCGGTTGCTGGGCAGTTGCTATGGTGTCTGTCGTGAGTCCTAAGCGGTTGCTATGGTGTCCTAGATGGTTGTTAAGTGGTTGGTAGGCAGTTACTATAGTGTCCTAGGTGTTTGTTAAGCAGTTGGTAGGCGGCTGCTATGGTGTCCGTTGTGGGTCCTAAGCAGTTACTATGGTGTCCGAGGTGGTTGCTGATTGGTTGCTAGGCTGTTGCTATGGTGTCCTAGATGGTTGCTAAGCAGTTGCTAGACAGTTGCTATGGTGTCCGTTGTGGGTCCTAAGAGGTTGCTATGGTGTCCTAGGTCATTGCTAAAAGGTTGCTAGGCAGTTGCTATGGTGTCCTAGGTGGTTGCTAAGCAGTTGTTGTGGGGTTGCTAGGCAGTTGCTATGGTGTCCATCATGGGTCCTAAGCGGTTGCTGTGGTGTCCTAGGTGGTTGTTAAGTGATTGTTTGGCAGTTGCTATGGTTTCCTAGGTGGCTGCTAAGCGGTTGCTATGGTGTCCGTCATGGGTCCTAAGCAGTTGGTATGCTGTCCTAGGTGGTTGCTTATTGGTTGCTAGGCTGTTGCTATGGTGTCCTAGATGCTTGCTAAGCGTTGGCTATGACATTCTTCATGGTTGCTATGCAGTGGCTAGTTGGTTGCTATGGTGTCCTAGGTGTCCCAGACTTGCTGATGTGGTTTAGATCACGGTATGACTTAATGTGAGCTACAACAAAATGAACAAATTGTCACTGTGTAGCTGAACGCTGTGGTGTCTTTAGATAATAGTCCACTCAGAAACTGACTCGCACATCATGCATGCGTACAGGCACTAGATTAGATGTGAGATTTCTATTAACAAACTTATATCTTCAGTTTGAAAATGTATAAATTGAAACAACAAATGTAATCTGCAACGATCATATACCTGCGAGGTGTGCGTGCAAGTAAACTGTGTCAGAATTCAGCAAATTACTTTGCTGTCTAAAGTGGCTGCCTGCAGAGTTAAGCTACATGGTGGTTTTGTTCATTTTATAGCTCACAGTAAGTCAAACCGTGTCCTAAACCACACTGACAAGTCTGTGAGACCTTAATGAAGAGCTGGATCCGGTCTGAGCGGGTCGAGAGAAGTTTTAAGGATTTATTCCAGAAAAGATTTCAATGACTATTGGCCTAGTGTTTGGTAGCAACATTAGCCTCATGGCTCCAGAAGCAAAATTTGGACGCCAAACACGTCTTGGCTGATTGACTACATCCGGGGTAGGTGGACAATTGTGTACAGACGACTTGTGTAAAGTTGTAAGCTTAGTTATGTAATCAGTATCTGAGTATATGAGCAGTTTCTAGCTATTTTTTTTACCGTGATGAGTCTGGTGCTGGTCTAACGGTGGCCATTATGGGCTGAATAACAGCGAGAGCCATCACAATACAGCCTAGACCAGCATGAGAAGCAGCTCCCTGCACAAAAACATGATGCATATTATATACAATCTGCATAAAAGCATTTGAGTAATTTATGTCACTCACATGATGATAATAATAATAGTGCATTTAGTCATATAAAACTTTAAAAGGATAAATAAAATACAAAGACAGTAAAATATAGTAAAATACAAATAGAGAAAAGATGGAGAAAACTCCAGGACTGAACGGATTCTACCTTAAATGCAACATTATATCAGCACATCGAACACAGAGAGGTTTATTGACTTGAAAACCAGACAATCTGTGCAGACCTGCATCAAATCTGTGATGTAACAGCACCACATGAATCATTTCAGTATCTGACTATAATCTGAAATGAAACAGAGCCCTCTGCTGGTCTGTGTTGAAAGTGGTGGGAGTTAGAGGCTCATGAGCCTACTAGCTCACCTTCTACGAAGCACTATAATACAATCTGTCACAAGTGGAAATCTCACCCTGCTCCAGTGTCCCCTGTAGACGAAAGGAAGAATGAAACCCACAAACGTGAGCATCACTGTGAGCATCATCAGCACATGATGCACCTGTGCAAATAAATCGTTTATGAGATATATTACACTACACTCTATACAAAAACTGTAAAATTTTCATTTACGCTCACTGCTCACTTTATTAGAAACCCTTCTCATGTAGCTCCTCCTTACTGGTGTACAGTTAGAGACTGTAGCTCATCTGTTGATGTACAGTTTGTGTTGTCCGTTCTTCAGCACTTCATCAGCGGTCAGTTTCTGACTCCAGAGCCGCTCTTGGCTGGATATTCTGGAGTGCTGATCCACTCAAACCCTAGCAGTGAAACTCCAACACTCAAACAATATCTGCTTATCATCAGCCCTGTGGTCATAAACTGACCAATAATGAATTGGGGGAGGGCTCATAAACTGTGCAGCAACAGCTGGGCTACAGTACACCTATTTAGCGAAAAAGTATAGAAGGACAGGGTAGGTGTTTCTAGTAAAGTGGCCAGTGAGTGGAAGTACAAATTAGGTGTTTCTAATAAAGTGGCCAGTGAGTGGAAGCACAAGGTAGGTGTTTCTAATAAACTGGCCAGTACATGGACATACAATGTAAGTGCTCCTAATAAAGTGGCCCTTGAGTGAAAGTACAGGATGTTTCTAATAAAGTGGCCAATAAGTGGAAATATAAGGTTGGTGTTTCTAACAAAGTGGCCAATTAGTGGAAGCACAAGGTAGGTGTTCCTAATAAAGTGGCCGACCAGTGGAGGTACAAGTTAGGTGTTTCTAACAAACTGGCCAGTACATGGACATACAAGGTAGGTGTCTCTAATAAGGTGTCCAATGAGTGTAAATACAAGGTAGGTGTTAAGTACCCAGTGCATGGAGGTGCAGCATAGGTGAAAGTACAGGGCAAGTGTTTCTAATAAAGTGGCCAATAAGTGGATGTACGAGTTAGGTGTTTCTAATAAACTGGCCGGTACATGGACACACAAGGAAGGAGTTTCTAATAAAGTGGCCAGCAAGTGGAAGTACAAGGTAGGTGTTTCTAATAAAGTGGCCAAAAATTGTGCTCTGCAACAACTTCACTATATATCATTTAGTGGAGTTAATTCTAATACCTGAAACCAGATTCTTTGTCCAAACAGTGTCTTTTCAGGCCAGTCTGGTTTAAAGAAGCCTGCGATGAAGGTGCCAGCGCTTCCAGCCACCATCCACGCAATCAGCATCAAAGCACCTGCAGTACATGTTATTATTATTCATTTCTATGATGCTTTCTAATATATAATATAAAATACATATGCATGTATATGCATTTCTGCATCCTGATACATGCTTGTGAGCTCACTGACTGAAAATGACACTAGCTGCACTAAACTACATCACTAGCCAAAACTGCATGATTGTTTATGTATTCCGCTTGTAAAGAAATGCTTACCGTGGCATTTCATAATTAAAGGGGAGCGGGATCCGGTCACTATCTCCGCCGGGCCGGTAATGGCCTGCCGCTGAGCTGATACGAGGGGCTGACGTTTATGTTTATGGATCTCACCTGAGAGAGGAAACTCATAGGTTAGCACAGCCATTACGCTCGTTTATCACCACAGGCCTCATAAAGTAGAATGCAGGAGCAATCAGAGCTTCCTGTTTAAGACTGAAACAGCACAAATGAAATGCTGGACGAGTGCTGGGCAACTGTGTCATAAATTACAGTAGATGAGGCACTTTATTGAAAATAATCACTGACCAAAGTGGTTCAGGAAATGGTGTATTTACTCGGGCTCTAGTGATACAGCTTAAAGCGATAGTTTAGAGACAAAAAGTATCAAAATTTCGCCATGTTTGGTGTCTGGAGTTTGCTTGCTTAGTTTGCACAATGCTAATTGGTGGGTACATGCTTCCATTGCTTTTAACTACTTTAGCCTCGAAGCTCTAGAGCAAAACTGAAGAGACAAACTTCAGACAACATACATGTCTTGGCTGATCGAAATTTGAAGTTTCATCAAACTATCGCTTTAATTCTAAGAACATTTAAGCTTAAGTTCTTAAAGCACATGCTGTATTGCAGTTTTACAGGCTGTTGTGCACCCGTTGACCTTATGTGTGTCCTTATCCATGACATGCCTTTTGTATCATCGGCATGTGCTGATATGGTTAAGTTCTCCGGAACTTCTGAATCGTTTGGGAAGTGCAGAAGTGCAATCAGTGCTGGATGTCATAAAAAGTACACGTTTACTGGCCAAATCGACTGGACTGGACTAGAGCAATCAAAACAAGGCCTTGAGATGAAGCAGTGGAGTGTTGTAATGTTCATCCATTAACCTCAACCATGCAACAGCATGCTTACCAATATCAAGCTGAACTTTTGCTTCTGCACCTTAACAGTATCTTTAGATTCTGGCCTGTCACTAATGGTAGTGATAGGAACCAGGGGTCACTATGTCTACAATACAAATATAGCCATTTTATTCACTATCCAGAACCACCAGTGAACCTACATGTGTCTTCTGAGTTTTTATATGTCATGTGGTAAATGTAAATAAGGGGATATTTGAAAAAAAATAAGTTTTTTTGGAGATTATTTTGCCTCACAAAGTATATTTTACACCAAAACCTTCACAAAACTCATAAACAATGTTTCAGACATCAAGCAGCACCTTCATAACCATTTCATGTAACAAATTTCTGTGATTAAACTCTTCAGAAGTCTGGTTCTTATCACCACCACTGTGATAATTAATTTAATGATCAAATGTAAAAAGAGTTTGAAAAATTGGTGGAATTCCACTTTAATGGAGCAAGTTTTCTTTAACTCCACTCACCATGCTGAGCAGAGCCGTGTGCGATGAACAGGTAGTAGCTGTGGTCGAGGCTGAAGCGCTGTGGATCCTGAGGGATGTTGGTGGCTCTGCGAAACCTGCACTGAATCACTCCATCAGCCACTCTCCAGCCCACATCACTCAGGACGGCCTGCGCAAAGAAGACAAGCCATTCAAACTCAGTCTGTACTGTGTGGGAATAAAACAACTTTATTCATAGACACTCACTGGCAACTGTACTAAAAACCCCTCCCTGTTTCTGTTGATGCATAGTTTACGTTAGCCGTGCTCTAGTGCTTCACCAGTGATCAGTTACTGACCACAGAGTTGCTCTTGGTCTATAGTCAGAAACTGACCAGTGACGAATGGGATAGAGGAAGGACTCTAACTAAATGGCCAACGAAAGTACAAGGTAGGTGTTTCTAATAAAGTGGCCAGTGAGTGGAAGCGTAAGGTAGGTGTTTCTAATAAAGTGGCCAGTGAGTGGAAGCACAAAGTAGGTGTTTCTAATAAAGTGGCCAGTGAAAGGAAGCACAAAGTAGGTGTTTCTAATAAAGTGACCAGTGAATGGAAGCACAAGGTAGGTGTTTCAAATAAAGTGGTCACTGAGTGGAAGTACAAAGTACAAAGTCTGTGTTTCTTATAAAGTGGCCAGTTAGTGGAAGTACAAGGTAGGTGTTTCTAATAAAGTGGCCACTGAGTGGAATACATGGTAGGTGTTTCTAATAAAGTGGCCACTGAGTGGAAGTACAAGGTTGGTGTTTCTAATAAAGTGGATTTATAGATATTTTATCTTCTCAGCAACCTTCTGTACAACTACAGAGGAATGATGGACATTACACTCACCTACAAATGCAAAACAAACTCTGTACATACTGAGATATATACTGAAAAATATAGGCCTCACCTTATCGGCAATCTCTGGATGAGTACGGCCTGCTTCGTATGCAGCGTTCACAGTCACCCGCCCTCCGTCATTCACACACAGATAAACGTCATCGTTACCCTGCGCCAAAAAAATACATGATAAGCAGCACAGGAGTGTCATATTCAGACACAGTTCAAAAGTTTAGAATCACTGTTTTTAGTAACTCAAAGCCAATTTTGTTGCAGAATGTTCTATAACCATCTAATGCATCATACTTTATTGACTACTGTTACATTAAGCACTCAAATTCCCACTCACCATCCACTCATCCTCAGACAGAGCAAAGGAAATGTATCCCTGCGTCGGCCCGCTCAGCTCAAACTGCACACTCTGGCCCTCAGTGCGGTAGGACAGGAAGAAGCAGTGTGTATCTGTGGCAGGGTTGCAGTGGGCTGGATCCAGCAGGCAAGACTTCCACTGACCACAACCCTCTGAACTGAACTAATCAAGACAGAGTGAAGAGAAAAATCTACAAACGTGTTGTGATTCAATATTATTTATGGAATACCAGACTAACTGCAATTGCATTGATTCAGTACTGTATATTAAACAGCAACAGATCCACTTATTGGACCTGCCTCGATTCAGTACTGCCATGAAACACTAATAGAGTTATTGACTGGAACTGCATTGATTCAGTATTGAATGCATTGAATGCATTGAATGACTCTTAAATTGGACCTACGCTGATTCAGTACTCTAAAATGAAAAGCACTAATAGAGTCACTGACTGGACCTGCATTGATTCAGTACTGCATATGAAACACTAATAGAGTCACTATTTGTTCCTGCATTAATTCAGTACTACATATGAAACACTAATAGAGTCACTATTTGTTCCTGCATTAATTCAGTACTGTATATGAAAAGCTAATAGAGTCACTGATTGGACCTGCATCAATTCAGTACTATATATGAAACACTAATAGAGTCACTGATTGGACCTGCATTGATTCAGTACTGTATATGAAAAGCTAATAGAGTCACTGACTGGACCTGCATTGATTCAGTACTGAATATGAAATACTAATAGAGTCACTGATATGAAACACTAATGAGTCACTGATTGGACCTGCGTTGATTCAGTATTATATATGAATTAGACTCACTGGTCGGACCTGCATTAATTCAGTACTGAATATGAAATGCTAATAGAATCATTGATTGGACCTGCATTAATTCAGTACTGAATATGAAATGCTAATAGAATCATTGATTGGAGCTGCACTGATTCAGTACTGCATATGAATTAGACTCACTGGTCGGACCTGCATTAATTCAGTACTGAATATGAAATGCTAATAGAATCATTGATTGGACCTGCATTAATTCAGTACTGAATATGAAATGCTAATAGAATCATTGATTGGAGCTGCACTGATTCAGTACTGCATATGAATTAGACTCACTGGTCGGACCTGCATTAATTCAGTACTGAATATGAAATATAGACTTACTGGTTGTGGCAGCACAGCTGTTGTCTCAGTAGCAGTGCTGGTGGAGGTGGTGGGTTGAACTGGATGTGGGGTCACTCCACTCTGAGAGATCACTGGACTGGGAATCTTCACCCAGAAATTATTGTACTGAGCCAACACTGTTGCCCTGAACAAATATACAGCATGCATGTCTGCCATAACAGGTCATTTGGACAATTTTTTTATTGTTACATTCATCATAAAATGTTAAGTTACTAAGAATAAAATAGATATCTAACAGAAAAAAACATACAGAGAGAATGTACCACTATACACTCTGTCAAGGAGCTGATATCATCTGCCACATATTTGCACATTTGTAGTTCTTATTATTTTATTCAATAATAGCTTTTTATATATACTTATATAATGCAGAATTAAATAGATCAAAAGATGTTTTATAGTTGTAAAAGTTGTAATAGTTTTTGCTAAGTACTTTAGAAACTACAAGAGTTATTACATGATAACATACTGCAGTGATAAGTTTGTGCCTCCTGTATTTAATAATCGCTTTGTAAATATGAGGCATTCTGGATATTAGTTTATCTCCCATGTGAGTCCATTTTTCTGGATATATACAGTATAAACTGCCCCTTTTAACAGCTTCACACAGATTATTTGAAACCTATAAATTTGGTCCAACGTAATCCTATAGGATTCCCACTCTCCCTATTCAAAATATGAAATATTTCTATTGGACTTTATCAGTCTCACAAACTGAACTTGAAATATTTTGCTTATATACTGAAACATTTATTATTATGTATTAACATGTATTATTGTGTATTAGTGTAACGTGTTGGCGTCTTACAGCACTTACAGAAAGCGGACAGTCGGAGGAGCGTCAGTGGGAGCGATCCACATCACATCAACCTCGGTCTGCTTAGCATCACTGGTGTGACTCACAGCAGAGCCCTGATACAGATTAGAACACAAGTCACACGCTGTCATGAACAAAGACCTACGAGTGCACTGTAAAAGGGCCCATGAAACAGAGAACGGAAATGTCCGTAAATTTTCAAAGTAGTTAGATCCAGTAAAAAAAATCAAAACATACCATACAGTCTCAAATCCATACATTCCATATACAGTCATATGCAAGCTTTCTGATATTCTGTTGATTTTCTAAGCAAAAATTAATTAACACATTCTCCATAGTAAACAGATTTAAATATGGCATTTTTCTGCACATTTTAGTGCACGATTTCTATTTGTTTGAAGATTAAATGTCATAACTTTTGAATATTTTATGTTTTATTGTTCCACAAAATGGTAACTTCAGCAGATAAACACACACACACACACACACACACACACACACACACATTTTCTAAACCGCTTATCCTTCTGGGTCGCGGTGGGGTGCTGGAGCCTATCCCAGCGGTCATTAGGCGGAAGGCAGGATACACCCTGGACAGGTCGCCAGTCCATAGCAGGGCAGCAAATAAACAGTAATTGTGAAATAAAATATGCAGAGGTGTGGTCTCTGTGGAGGATGTGTTAACTTATTTTTCACAAAAAAAAACAAAAAAACACCAGGGGTGCCTAAACTTTTGCACACGGCTGTATAGTAGCTAAGCTGCCCTGGTTTTATATCCATTGTTTTTGTGAGGTCACAAAAGCCTTTAGATATATCTGTCTATTTAGCCTAAAGCAGTTTAGCCCCACCCATTCATGCAAACCGGGGGTCTTTTGCGTTTGACTTTACATGTTCAGTGTATGTTACTGCATATTTCTGAATCTCTGATTCTAACTGACTCTGACTGAACTGTGGTGAAATTTGACGTTTCATGATTCACTGAATCGTTTCATAAGCAGTTCTAATCAAACTCCTCTACTGAATAAGAAGAAGTGACTGTGATTTGAACCTGGATGTTGTGGCATGTTAAAAGCTGACTGATCTCAGGCTTGTTCAGTGTGAAGGATCCGACTGCAGGCCCCTCGGGATCCACTGCGTCTCTGGCCTCGATCAGAAAACCTTCAAACTGCTGACGTCCAGACAGGGTGACTGGGAACATTGTGAGTCAATACAATATGACACAGTCAGACAAAACTCAGTAGTGTTATTGAGGTTGAGTGATTTAATAAGACCTCCTACCCAGCAGCGCTGAGTTTACCTCTGATGTGATCGCCAGGCTTGAATGTAGTGCTGTCCACGCTCAGTGTGTATGGACTGGTGGTTGTGTTGGCCTGACCCCCATGTTTTGGTACCATGCTGTCACAGGACTTTTCCACTTTTCCATTCCTGTACCCAGCGATGGATGTCAAAGTCCCACAAAACAGCAAAGCGGTCCACAGGATTACTGCCATTTGTGGGATCTTCGTCAGAAATGTTGTCCTGTTTGGACATAATATACAGTAAATAAAGCACTGGCAGTGCAATAATGTGGCAATAATAAGACACAAAAATAAGTCTGAGAGATTAAAATGAGCGTATTTATCCATGGATCTACCTATAAGTGGTTTAAATCAAATATGTATCACATAGAAATTTGATTATTTAGACATCGTACATCCAACGGCACAGAAAAAATACTAAAAAAAAGTAAAAATTAAGAATTCTGCCACCATATAGTTTATCATTGTCCTGTCCTTTTTGTCCTTTTTTTGCAATTTAACTCATAACAGAAAGAAATATCAGGAAAGTCTTAATTTCATTTAGAGAAATAAAAACATTTTACCCATTAGAGCGAAAATAGCTGTACAGAAAAGCTAGAGAGCTGCAGAGAGCTGTGCTCTACTCACCTGGATGTCTACCTGGCTCCTCAACTAACCTGCACAGGTAAAGCTCTTCACTTGTAAGTATGGTGACATCAGGCACAGGGCGGGGCTTAATTTCTTTGTCCTGTACCGAGTCTGACCGCAAGAGGGAGACAAAGAGCAACAGACGAATTAAAAGGCCCATATCATGGCAAACTGATCTTCCTCACTTTCTTAAATAAAGGTTTGATGTCATTTGTAAACATCGTTAGAGCCTCAAAACGCACTGTTCACTCTAAAAGATGGTTCTTCAAGGGTTCTTTCGTAAAGAAAATGGTTCTATATAGAACCATGAACACTCAAAGAACCTCTTGAATGATTAAAGTGTTCTCTGCATCATGAAATGGTTCTTCAGATTGATGGAGAATGTGTTTTATATGGTTCTACATAGAACCTTTTTGAAAAGGGTTCTATATAGCACCAAAAAGGGTTCTTCTATTGATACAAGCTGGACCTCGTAACAATAGCAGAATCCTTTTGGGTGCTATATAGAACCCTTTTCAAAAAGGTTCTATATAGAGCCGTCTACAGCACATTCTCCATCAATCTGAAGAACTTTTCACGATGCAAAGAAGGCTTTGGTCATGCAAAGGGTTCTTTGAGTGTTCATGGTTCTAGACAGGACCATTGTCTTTACTAAAGAACCCTTGAAGGACCATCTTTTTGAAGTGTGCACCTGTTCAGCCTATAGCAGTTTAGCTCCACCCATTCACGCCAAAGTTATAAGGAGTGTTTTTTTAAATAAGGCACAGTGCAGGGCACCCAATCAGAATGGAGCTCATTTACATATATCAGTCTTAAAGTCACAGTAACAAAAATAGCCTGTTTGAGAGTGAAAGAGATGGGAAATACGGATCCATTGTACAGGATACACCCAGCTTAGTCTCCAAGACGGCGGCTAATAACAGCAGTAACAGTGTTAATAGTAGCGAATGTGTTATGTGCAAAAGTTTGAACACTCCTGGTCAACTTAGATGTTTTGTTGATGTTCTAAGGGAAAAGAAGCGCATGATTTTTTATTTATTTGCAAAGGATAAAGGGACATTCCATCAATTTTTCATAATTAATAGTCATTCAGAGTGGTTTGGTGTGAAACGCTCTGTTATAGAGAAACTTACAGGGTCAGAACTGTTCACAGTGGTGGTGATAGGAACCAGACGTCCACCTCCAAAAGCTCCTTCACAGAGAGTTATTACATGAAATGGTTATGAATTCACTACCTGATGACTGAGACACTGTTTTGTGATAGTTTTGAGAAGGTTTTTCTGTTTTTTTTTTAATCAGAGTGGTACTTGCAGGATGTTGTGAAGCAAAATAGCCCCTGAAGAGAACATGGTGTTGCATTTCAATTGATGCATTTCATTTACACTTTGTATGCGGAGGAGGCTGGGATGGTTTATTCAACTCCATGCAGCTAAGAAAGTCGAAATCCCTCCTGGAATCCTCTCTGAAGCTGAACTATGATTTCATGAACAAATATTGTACAGTTATTATCGTTTACTAGAGGATACTGCACCAGTATGCATTTATACATAACCATAAGACACCAAAGGAATATATTTTAAATATAGTTTTATAGATATTATAAAAATATTATAGGTAGGTCATTTTTAATTGCTATATTAATGGGTTCAAATAAAGTCTGGGGTTTCATCAAATGTTAACATTATTGCTAGGTTAAGTTACCCTTATTAGTCCCACAATGGGAAATTTCACCTCCACATGTTAATCCACCACATACACACTATGGACACACACACTAGGGGGCAGTGAGCACACTTGCTTAGAGCGGTGGGCAGCCCTATCCACAGCGCCCTTGGAGCAGTTGGGGGTTAGGTGCCTTGCTCAAGGGCACTTCAGTCACGTACTGTCAGCTCAGGGGATCGAACCCGTGACCTTCTGGTCACAAGGCTGGTTCCCTAACCTCCAGAAGAATAAATATGTATTATTTATTGGTTATTATCCCAAATCCCTAACTCCTCATCATGTATCTTATCATATATAGTTAAGATACTGTGGCGTCAGTGTAGAATAAGACGCAGGAGAGGCCAGGAGAAGTGTTCTTTCATTTAGACCAGCAGAAAAGGCACAGCAGAAACAGCTGGGATAGCAGGCAGGACATTCCTAGCCAAACACCTTCACTTCACGGTTAGCACAAAACCCCACTGACACAGAAAAACACAAGTAACGTGTATTTATACTCTGCAAACTGAAGAATCCAAACCCCAGCTTAACCAGGGGACCAGCCTGGTGTCTGGAGAAGTGAAGTTTATTCGTTGCGCGCAGGTACCAGACACCCAGCCAGACAATGGACTGACACAGTTTTATAGCTGGACTGATGCCAAGATTAGACCCAGCTTATACATGACAAATGACAGGTGTGACAAACATGACCATGTAGGGATAAACAAAAAACAGGCAGCCTAAAATACAACTTCAGCACATACACACAGAATACGGCTTATACTAATGTATAACACAGCACTAAACACATTACAGAGCAATAAAGTCCTTCAGAACTAAGGAACAACAACATAAACAACAACAGCAAATGTCCTTTTCACAGTGGGGGGTGAGGGATAAGAGGCTCTCCTCTGTCTCTCTCTCTCACCTCTGCCTCTCTCTGTCTCTCTCTCTCTCCTCTGCCTCTCTCTCTCACCTCTGCCTCTCTTTTCCATCTCTCTCCTCTCTGTCTCTCTCTCACTTTTCTGTCTATCTCTCTTTCTGCCTCTCCCCCTCTCTCTCCTCTCTGCCTTTCTCTCCTGTCTCTCTCTCTCTCTCTCTGTCCATCTCTCTCTGCCTCTCCCCCCCCCTCTCCACTCTGCCTTTCTCTCCTCTCTCTCTCTTTTCTTTCTATCTCTCTCTGCCTCTCCCCCTCTCTCTCCTCTCTGCCTTTCTCTCCTGTCTCTCTCCTCTCTTTCTCTCTTTTCTTTCTATCTCTCTCTCCACCTCTCTCTTTTCTGTCTATTTCTCTCTCTCCGCCTCTCTCTCTCTTTCCTTTCACTCTGTCTTTCTCTCTCCTTTGCCTCTCTCTCTCCTCTCACTCTCTCTCTTTCCTCTCACTCACTCTCTCTCTCTGTTTTTCTCTCTCCTTTGCCCCTCTCTCTCTCCACCTCTCTCTTTTCTGTCTATCTCTCTCTCTCTCTCTCTTTCCTTTCACTCTCTTTGTCTTTCTCTCTCCTGCTCTCTCTCTCTCTCCTGCTCTCTCTCTCTCTCTCTCTCTGTCTTTCTCTCTCCTTTGCCCCCTCTCTCTCTCTCTCTCTCTCTCTCCTTATATTTCCTCTTCTTCACCGCTCTCTTTCTATTTATTATTATAAGTCACATAATCAACACTTGTAGGAACGCTGGATAAATGCAGCGCAGTTGGCTGAGGAGGATCATCATCTGTCGCCCAATCAAATACCAGCGTTTCACGCGCGAGAGGAAGACGTCATCGGCGTCAGACGTCTGTGTTTCGTCGCTCCTTCCTGAAAAAAGTGTCAGCGTTTCCTCGTGCCTGGATAAATGTTGTATATAATATATACGTATATGCATATAAATGTCAGAACATGTATATATGTATGTACATACATATTTAATGCGCATGCTCTATAGACCCGCTTAAAGTACCGCTACAGAAGCGTGACAGGAATTCTGCGGCTCTTCTATTCGGTACGGTACGGTATAAGTGGGCGTGTTTTCGCCGATTCTCGGCCACGCCCCCTCAGCTGCAGTGAGAAGGACGTCCTGGTCGGAGAGCAGGAAAAACAAGAAGCGGCCGAGGTGGGATTTTCACTGTTTTACCGTCAACGCTGCTCTTATTCCGTTAAAACTGCCTCGCAGATGCTCGTATCAGGCGCTACAGACAGCGGTCCCGCTGTAACGCGTGTGTTTATCCCTGTTTATGGTTGGCTTGTCGCGGCTTTAGCTGCAGGAGGCGCTTATAAGGCTGCGTGAAGCCGCTGGGTGTTCTCTCTCTGACCTCCACCACTTCGGGTATAAAGATAGTGGATCTCGAGCTGCGGGGCTCGAATGGGGGCGAGCTGTGAGATATGATGCTTTGGTTAAAGCTCACCGGCCTGGCTGGCTTTGCAGGTGGGCTTGGTTGCAGTTCATGCAGTGCATTGCAAAAGTTCACCCGGTGTTGCAACTGCTGCAGCACTGGATGACAGTTCAGTGCTTCAGTCTCTTCTTTTGGCTTGGTGCAAACTCTGTTGGCACTGAGGGTCGACCGATGTGGAGTTTTCAGGGCCGATACCGATACCGATACTGATTATTTTGATTTGGAGGTCAGTAGCCGATACATGGGCCAGTATTTATTTTCTGTAAATTTGAAGGTTCCTATAGAAAACAGTGTTAAATACTAGCACTAAATACTTTCATATTTGACCATTATAAAATAAATAAATAAATAAATAATGTAGGTCTGGGTAAATTGACAGTATCGCTGTTGTGATAAAATGTAAATACAATACGACATGCTTTTCTTACCATATCTTGGGGAACACCGACAAACTGCCTGTTTTATTCGAAAGAGAGTAAAATTAGCTGGATTGGTGCAACACAGAATGTGAAATATTGAACAAAAATTATTGTGTTCATAGTTTTTTGATAGTATTTTTAAAAACGTTCTTTTTTTCTCTGTTCCAACTGATCAGATATCTGAAAAATAAATATCATGACACATCGTTTATCGTAAAACAACTTGAAGTGTCACAATATTATATTTTTGCCATATCGCCCACCTCTAAAATAAAGTAAATGGAGCTTCTAGACAGTGTAAACATTTGGAAACATGACTAAAAATCTCAGAATACAAGGAAACCTTAAGTAGATAAAAACAATATTAACTACTGTAAATAGCACTGAAAAATATGTTCTTAAATAAACATAAAAAAGTTACATAATAAAAGGCATGTAGTGACTAGGTATCATGCACATTGAGTGCGTTTACAAGCACTCAGTATCTGCAGAAAATCAGATTTTGTCAGTAATCTGATTTCTGCTTTGGGCGCCGTGGATAGGGCTGCCCACCGCTCCAGGCAAGTGTGCTCACTGCCCCCTAGTGTGTATGTGGTGTTTCACTGCACGGATGGGTTAAATGCAGAGGTCTGATTCTGATGTGTTCAGACACAGTTGGCTAAAAGGTTCATTTCATTCAATAAACTCACAGAAGAAGACGTGACGTAAACATAACGTAAAACTCAAACTTATGCCGTGGCTTTTTTTTTTTAAAAACATCGCAAAACTTTACCTGATTTTTTTTTTTTTCTCACAGCAGCGCTGCTCGCTTACTTTCGGTACCACAGTCTGTTTTCGCACATGTGCATACTGTGAAATCTGAAAGAAATCAGAGTAAGAGTTCACATGCACTGAGAAATCTGATTACTGAGCTAAAACCCAGCCTCTTTATCGGATTTCTTAATCTGATTTCTAGACTTTACTCCAAACTGAGAAATCAGAGTGTGCTGTTTACATGACCCTTTGAATAATCAGATGCAGAAGTCCGATTATGATCGGATTATTGGGTGCATGTAAACACACTCATTGTTAAAACAGTAACGCTTTAAAATGAACTCAAATAGCTAAAAAATAAACGTTTTAAAATAACAAAAATGCCAAATATATCATTTAAATAAGTCGTTCCCCAAAATAAAGCGCATGATTTAGGTTAATATCACACGAGACCGGCTTTGATTCGAGTGAACAGGTGCAGTAAGCACCTGTATTATTTAGCATATCGTTATTCGCGTCTCTCACAAACACACAGACGACAGAGTTTGATTGGTGATAGTTTGGTTGGTGCTCCAGCTGTGGTTGGGACAGGTGTTTGGATTTGTTGTCACACGTATTTCGACCATTTAAGGATGTGGGCGGGGCATTTTTTCAGTCATTGTTGATTAGAGATGCACATTTATCATTAAAAAGCCTTTTAACCGATATTGATAAATCTCAAGGCGAGCCGATAATCGGTCAACCCCTAGTTTGTGCTGTTTAACACACTGTCAAGCATGGCTTTAATCATCCTGATGCATATCTTCTCCTCTATGCATCATGCTATCCTGTGGATCTCTCACTCTAGTGCAGTGAAGGGGGTCCCATTGAATTCCAGGGTGTCTGTTGAGAAACAAGGAGAGGGATCATGTCACCCAGTAAGCAGATTCGAGTGCTGGTCCTCAATGACATGGAGAGACTTGACAGGACCCTCTTCCGTTTGGAACAAGGTAGGTAGCATCATGTCTAATGTGTTGCTTTCTGCATGGTCTGTTTCTCATGCAGGGGTTTGGTGTCATGCTGTCTTGCTTCACTATCAGGCCTCAGTACTCAGTTTGACTGAGTAGTTCTTTTTCTCAGATGTCTGGACTTGTAGGTGTTCAAATTGGGGAGAAAGTGTCACCCAGTAGTTTGCCATGGAAATAAAATCTATCCATGGTCTGTAGCATTTGAGAAGGTGAAAATCAAAGGACCACCATAGTAAAAAAGGCAACTTTATCCACACTGTGTGCTTTTATCTTCACTGTATGTCTATTACAAGCCTAACGGTAGCACTTCTCATGTAACTGCAGCCCTCGGTGGGACAGCTGCAAAACATTTATAGATCTGTGTTTGTTGATATGAGATTTATGTTGAATTTTTTAGGTGTCAGAGTGGAACTTAGTAGCAGGACAAGGGGAAGAATGACAAATGCTCATACAGGGATTCTATAATTGTAGAGAAATTAGGTGTGCACCTGAAAAAAATGATATACTTATAATAATATATCGCTGCTGTTGGAAGAAAACCTCGTATCTCCATTTTTGATGCTTTCCAGTTTTTGACATAATTTGAATATACTTGTTGCACTTTACATTGTATGTGAATTTCATGATGAATGGACTAAAGGAAACGACCCAAAATGACTTGGAAGGACGTCTGGTTCCATTGACTTACATTAAAAGTAAAGTAGGTTTTTTCCTTCTCCTGTAAAGTTACCATTTTAGAGATATGAGGTTTTCTTCCGACAACAGTGATATGGTTGAGAATAAACACAAGACTGACCGAGCTCCAGAGAAACTTTCTGTTGTTTGTGTGCAAATGACAAGATCAAACCTTTCACATTGATTTGTTTCATTGTTTGTTCGTGTATCTGCATACATGACGTTGTGTTATGTCTGCAGGGTTTGAGTTGCAGTTCCGGCTGGGTCCCACTCTCCAGGGGAAGCATGTGCACGTTCACATCAACTATCCAGCTGTGGGCAAGCGCTTTGATCGACACCACTTTCGTACGCTTGATTGGGTCAACCCCACTGGCAGAGAGGACGATTCAGACAAGTTCTGCTCCCTCGACCTGCAGATCGCCGGCTCTTACCAGTATTACTTCGGTCATGGGTGAGTAAGAGTTACTTTAAGATATAAAACTTTCAGCTCAAAACAACAGGGGTGTAAAATGTGAATACAGAGGTGGCCACCTTTTACAGCTATAATAGTTTTCACTCTTCTGGAAGGCTTTCCACAAGATTTTGGAGTGTCTGTGGGAATTTTTGCCCGTTCAGTCAAAAGAGCATTTATGACCATTATCCCTCCTCTACCAAACTTTACTGTTGGCACTATTCATTCCTCCATTCTCCTGACATCCACCAAACCTAGATTCATCCATCAGCCTGCCAGACGGTGAAGTGTGATTCATCACTCCAGAGAACGTTTCCACTGCTCCAGAGTCCAGTGGCGGCATGTTTTATACCACTCCAGACGACGCTTGGCATTGCACATAGTGAGCATAGGCTTGTGTACAGCTGCTTGGCCACGGCAACCTATTTCATGAAGCTCCCGATGCACAGTTCTTGTGCTAAAGTTGCTTCCTGAAGCAGTTTGGAGCTCTATAGTGATTGATACAACAGAGGATGGGTGATTTTTAAGCGCTGAGTTCTTTAGCTTTAGCATGGCTGAGCTGTTGTGGCTCCTAAATGCTTCCATTTCACAAAAATAGCACTGACAGTTGACCAGAGGGGATCTAGCAGGGCAGATATTAACATGCGGTACGACTCATTCTACTGCCAGTGTTTGCCTATGGAGACTGCATGGCTATGTGCTTGATTTTATACACCTTTTAGCAATGGATGTGGCTGGAACACCTGAACTCAATAATTAGAGAGGTTGTCCACATACTTTTGGCCATTTAGTGTAGATTGTGATGCATTGATCTGAACATAGTGGTTCACCACATTGATTTTGCAATGTATTGATTTTAATCTATGCTAACAATGTTCAGTAGAGTATGTGGTCATTTTTTGGCTGAAATACAACATTGAGGCAATTTTCAAGGATAAAAATGAAGTATTTTTTTATTATATGTACTGTGTTAGTAGTTACACTGGTATAAGCCTGATATACAGTGGATCAAATGTAGTCTTCTAGCACAGGAATCCTCATTGAACGCTTCCCAAATAATGGAAGCTTTGGAAGAGTCCCTCAGCCATTTACTTGGTCTGGGTAGAAGTCTCCCTTCTCTCTACGCTAGGAGAATATTAGCCAGAGGGCAAAAAGAAATCAGTCAAAAAAGCGAGATCCTACAGGCTGATTAAAGGGGTCAGTATAATGGCAGCTAAAAATACAGCCCACTAGAAACTCACTTGTCCAGTGGTAGTTTTACTGCCATCCACATCCATTTTATCAGCTCCACTTACTATATAGGTGCACTTTGTAGTTCTACAGTTACAGACTGTAGTCCATCTGTTTCTCTGATACTTTGTTAGCCCCCTTTTACCCTGTTCTTCAGTGGTCAGGACTCCCATGGACCCTCACAGAGCAGATACTATTTGGGTGGTGGATCATTCTCAGCACTGCAGTAACACTGATGTGGTGGTGGTGTGTTAGTGTGTGTTGTGCTGGTACGAGTGGATCAGACACAGCAGTGCTGCTGGAGTTTTTAAACACTGTGTCCACTCACTGTCCACTCTATTAGAAACTCCTACCTTGTCAGTCCACCTTGTAGATGTAAAGTCAGAGACGATAGCTCATCTGCTGCTGCACAGTTTGTGTTGGTCATCCTCTAGATCTCCATCAGTGGTCACAGGACGCTGCCCACAGGACGCTGTTGGCTGGATATTTTTGGTTGGTGGACTATTCTCAGTCCAGCAGCGACACTGAGGGGTTTAAAAACTCCAGCAGCACTGCTGTGTCTGATCCACTCGTACCAGCACAACACACACTAACACACCACCACCCCGTGAGTGTTACTGCAGTGCTGAGAATGATCCACCACCCAAATAGTACCTGCTCTGTGAGGGTCCATGGGGGTCCTGACCACTGAAGAACAGGGTAAAAGGGGGCTAACAAAGTATGCAGAGAAACAGATGGACTACAGTCTTTAACTGTAGAGCTACAAAGTGCACCTATATAGTAAGTGGAGCTGATAAAATGGACAATGAGCGTAGAAACAAGGAGGTGGTCATAATGTTATGTGATATTTCACAATGAATGAAGAAATTGCTTGTTGCAGTTTGAAACTTTAGTGATTGAGATGCTGTGACGGGCAACATAAGACTGAACAGCAATCAAATAATAGTCAAAAGATGAAATGGTTGTAGAAATAATCATTACACCATTATTATACAGATCATGCATGATTGTTTTGATTTGTTATGCTTTTTTTTTTTCATTTCGTACAGAGAGGAGGAGAAAAGCGGTGGTGGATATATAGTGGTGGACCCAGTGCTGCGCGTAGGAGCTGATAACCATGTCTTGCCATTAGACTGCGTCTGCATCCAGACCTACCTGGCTAAATGTCTGGGGCCCTTGGACGAGTGGCTTGACCGGCTCAGGGTGTCCAAAGAGACGGGTGAGAAAAGAGCTGGGAGCACATTGCTAAAGATTTCAGACACTAACACAAAGAGTGAATGATAGAGGATTAAACGTCTCTCATTAACTGCAGCGTTAATCTCAGAGGTCTTCTTTAAATGGTGTTGAAATTATAGTCACTGATCTTGCTTTATTATGTGCAGAGCTCAGTATCACAGCATATTGTATAACTTTGTATGTGCTTGTGCTCTTGTCCCTTTTTTATACATAACAGTATGTCTTACAGTGTCCACAGTGGAAGCTAGTGAGCTAATAAGCTTCCATAACTTGTTAGCAGTCTTATATATGCCTTGTAGCTTTAGCGTTTACCCTCATCTAACGCTCTGAATTCAGTTCATGAAGGTCTTGCTGGTTAGCTGATGGGCTAAATCAGGTGTGTTTAATGAGGCAGTGTGCTGAATTCTGCAGAGTTTTGGCCCACCAGGACTGGAGCCTGACACATGTGAGCTAAGGAGAAAATGGCGTAACTTTAATTTTCATCAAAATACTGCTTTAAAGGGGAATTCCACTAAAGTTTCGTAATTCCACTAAAGTTTCGTAATTCAATGAGATGTAAACGTTTAAAGTCATCTAGAGTGGTCTGATGTAAGATGGTTCATTGTAGAGAAACTTACCAGCAACTCAGTTAAATCCATTCAATTTACTGTTCGAAACCACCACTGAACCTGCTGGGGCCGGATTCACAAAAGTAAGTAAGTAAGTTTATTTATAAAGCGCTTTTTACAACAGGTGTTGTCACAAAGCAGCTTTACAAGGAAATCAGCATTACAGAAAGAAATCCGGGTCCAAGCCCCCATGAGCGTCACCAGTGGCGACAGTGGCAAGGAAAAACTCCCTAAGAGAAACAGGAAGAAACCTTGAGAGGAACCAAGACTCAGAAGGGGAACCCATCCTCCTCTGGTCCACACCGGATAGCAAACATTGTTAGTACAAAAACAGGGAAAACAGGTGGAGCAATGATTAATTTGATTAGTTTAGTTCATGCAGCAGCAGCGGCGGCAGCAGCAGCATCAGTGGGGTCAGGTTGTGTCTTAAGAAAGAAAATCTTCGTAAATATGTGTTTTTCTTAACTTTATTCTTAAGAAAAAGGTTATGAGAAATTGTTGTTCTTCATAAATAGCTTCTTAGAAATTTTCTTTTCTTAACTATTCTAAGAACAAGTGGTATTTCTGAAAATATTATGTTCTTAAATGTGTTCTTAACCTTACGAAAGCCTCACACTTTTTATAATGGACGCTGCCTCTGTTGCTCCTGCCCATCCTTGTCCATCACCTCACCATTATCATATTTTCCAATGAGGATTTTTTTCCTGTTGGCTGTTTCTTCCACCATCACCTCTAGTTCATGTTTGCTAAATTTTTGCTTGGTTTGATGTTTTTCCTCCATTTTGCTCCTCTGAGCGGATTAACCTAATAACGAAAATAACAGTTAATACAAATTAAAAATGTATCTCATGTCGTTTATGATACAGGATAAAAGGCATCGTAGCCTACATAAGAAAACAATGAAGATTTACTTAAGAAAATCTTAAGAGAGCCCCTTGAACAATATGGCTTCTAGCAGAATTCTCATAACAATTTTGTCTCATAACTTTCTGTGATGTAGCATTAAACACTTTTGACGTGGGGTTCCTATCACCATCGCCAGTGTTTACCGCTGAGGCAGGGTTTTCGAATAAGTGGATTTCCAAAATAAGTATTATCTGAATGATGAAATCAGATAAACAAAGGCTTTTATTTGTTTAAAGTGAAGGTTTAGGTTGTGGAGATGACAAAAAAGGAGTGATGCTTCAATGACTCTGTGTGTTATCAAACATAAAAATATCGCTGTAGTCGGAACAAAACCTTGTATCTCCAAAATGGTAACTTTACAGGAGAAGGAAGAAACCTACCTTACTTTTAATGTAAGTCAATGGAACCAGAAGTTTTTCCAAGTCATTTTGGGCTGTGTGTTTTTGTCCATTCATCATGAAATTAACACACAATGTAAAGAGCAACAAGCAATTTTAGATTATGACAAAAACTGATAAATTACAAAAGTGGAGATACGAGATTTTGTTCTGACCGCAGCAAAATGAAATATTTTCTTGTTGGAAATAGTTCAGATGGAACAAAGTAGAAACTGGATGTTGTTCAAATGGGACAAAATCTACTTGTCTGGCCATCATTATACCTGAGGTGGGCCACCGAAGTGGCAGTCGGTGAGTGCTGTGAACAATAAGTTTCTCTAAAATGGCTCATTTCACATAAAACCACTCTGAGTGACTCTGAATGTTAACACCATGTTATCATTAAGTGTTGGCAAGTCATTTCTGACTCCTAGTGACCAAATGGACTGTGTTTTATCAGAATATCCTGTTTTCTGGTTGGCTGCCAGGCCTCTGAATGGCTGGTTTACACCTTAATGATTTAATTATGCAGAAATTTAGGAAAACCAGTGGAATTCTCTTTTAAGGTCCGTTGATATGGGTGAAATGAATGACGTGTTCAGTTGAATGAAGTGAGGCTGTGCCTGAGAAATGCTGTGTGTGTGGTAGATTGCAGGAGACTGTTTCTCTGATCACTGTTGTGTATGAATGTTCTGTGACGAGGAGTCTCTTTTGCAAGAGTAACGTCTTTGAAATAACTGTAGAACATCCCTTTTCATGTATGAATTGAGCTGGATGTGCCTGAATGAATGAACTGTGGCCACTGTGACTGAGTCTAACATTCATGTAGTGTGTAGTTCAGCTGCTCTTGCATTTCACCCAGTTTCAGCTGCACTTAACCTCTGCTTATCTCTCTGGTTTGTTTGAAACGGGAACTGACCGTCCCAAATCAATGGACTAACTCATCATGGCAATCGATAGACTGGACAGGCTAAATCAGTCCACTAAAGTTCTTTTAAGGGCCTTGATTTTACATTTATTCACATATTTTCCACCTGAAGTCCACTTAATAATACTTTGTGTGGTTTTATGTACCAAAAGCTGTTTTTGTTACTGTTCCTTTATGACTAACATATGTAAATTACTTCTGTCATGATTGGCTGTCTTGTTTTGTACCCGGTACAAAGAGAACGACAAGGCTAAACTGCTGTAGGCGTTAAGTTAAGACATCTCTACTTCATACATCAACTCTAGGGAGAACACTTATGTTTTTTTTTTCTCTGTAAGTTTCAACATATTGGGAAAAAAAGTGTAAAATGTGCCACATTTTAGGTTTTACGCCTTTCCTATTATGTGAGATTCAGTAAACAGTAATTGTGCATTAAAATGTGCAGAAGTCTGTTCTCTGTAGCGGATAAGTTAATATGTTCATGGTTGTGACCTCACAGACATGATCAGGCGATGTTTGCAGCTTAGTTTCCGTATATGAACCATATAAACTGGGCAGTAAACAGTGCATTTTGATAACGTTAATAGTGTTTCTGTATTATATCAAACTATTTTATTTAAACAATGGTTTTCCATTATATGTCCCTCTTTAAAGCACAGAAAAATAAATAATTAGCCAGTTTGTGTTCATTTCAATAATGGTTTTTATTCCACATATAATATTTCCATAGGACTGGAAATATTAAGTGTTTTTTATTTCTGCAGGTTATAATATGATCCACTTCACGCCGCTGCAGACTCTGGGCGAGTCTCGTTCCTGTTACTCTTTGGCTGACCAGCTGGAGGTGAACCCGGACTTTTCTCCTCCGGGGCAGAGCTACACTTGGACCGAAGTGGGCAACCTGGTGGAGAAGATGAAGAAAGAGTGGAATATGCTGTGCATAACTGATGTGGTCTACAACCACACAGGTGAGTGAGTGTAAATACGCTCAGAGAGCTCTTTATCAGGCACTGCTCTGTCTAGATCGCATTTACAGGGCATACATCGAAAATGTATGACCAAAATGGTCAAAAATGGTAGTTTTGACCAAAAGAGAAAAATGGCTAAAAGAAAAAAAGAAACAAGGATTTAATGGGCCTACGAGAAAGTGTCAAAATGTAAAACTTATAATTTTAATTTTAATGAAAATGAAAAACAGTGATTTAAAAATTGTTTATTCATTTGCACTTCTGTGCTTTTCAATACAAACTTGTTTAAACAGTTTGAGCAGCAGATCAGAAGTGAAAGTGTTCATGATGAGTTGCAAGAGAAGGTACAGTACCTAAAACTCAGCAAAACAACAGAAGCAGAAAGTCTCTTTTGCTTTAGCTTCAGTTTTTGAAATGATGAAGAAATTCACAGACAGTGCCGAAGTTCAAAGCATAACTAAAAAAAATGGATCTCATGGCCATTGATGACCAGCCATTCTCTGTTGTGAAGGGTGTTAGATTTAGATTTAGTGGCACATACTGTAGCTTGCGTACTGTAATCATTTTAGTATGCATATTTTACGTAAACAGTTTTGATTTATTGTCAACTTCTTTCCATTTTCAGTTCAGGTTTTTGGCCCACTGTGTCCTGAATGTTCATTTTGCTGTATCTTTATCAGCTACAGTATAAAAGTAAAGCATGCAGTGTATAAAGCAGAGCCTGACTAATATCGGTACATGGTTTTATCTGAATCTCACAAAAGATCGCAGGTAGTCTGCTGAAGCATCTCCAGGATTTGAGCTTGTGATCTCCTGATTATAGAGCGAAACATCTCACAGCTACTGGGGAGATTGTTGTGAGGCACCTCCTGTTACTTATTATTTATTTGTCAGGAACACTGGCCATTAATGTCACCAGAACCGTAAATGAGCCAGAGTTTGCAGAAAGAGGCTAATTTTTGTGTGTTGCCAGATGTTAAACTGCCCCCTAAAATAACTTCCATTAAAAAAATATAATATTTACACTTATCATAAATGTGAGAAATACCAATCAGAATTATATATATATATATATATATATATATATATACATACAGGGATATACATGTGACAGTCATTTGTGAATCAGTTTATCACATATAACCTTCACAAAAGTTCGTTGGTGGCATGCAGGCATAGAGTCAGGATAATTAGCTTAGCAAGAAGTAAAGACAAAACAATGAGGGGAAAAACAGAAAAATAAAAAACTTAAAAAAACTCACAGTAATTATGGTTATATAAGTGTGCACACCCTTAAACTGATAATGTGTTGAAGCACTATTTAATTTTATTTCAGCACTGAGACTCTCGGTAAGAGTGTGTCAACTTGGCACGTCTTGATTTGGCAGTATTTTGACACTCCTCGTTGCTAAAAGTTTCAGATTGCGAGGGCATCTCCTGTGCACAGCCGTCTTCAGGTCTTCAGATTTTCAGTTGAATTTAGGCCTGGGCTCTGGCTGAACTGTTTGAATGATTTAAATGTATGCTTTTGGTCATCGTCATGCCGAAAGATTCATTCTCAGCTTTCTAGCAGGTTTTGCAGCAAAATCAACTAATATTTGGAGCTATTCATGATTCCCTCCACCTTGATTAAGCCCTAGTTCCAGCTGAAGAAAAGCAGCCCCAAAGCATAATACTGCCACCACCATGCTTCAGCTTGTGTGTGGTGTTCTTTTGGTGATGCGTTGTGTCCATTTTGCACCAATTACACTTAATTGGAATTATGGACAGAAAGTTCAAGTTTTAGCAGGCCGTAACACATTTTTCCACAAGGTTTTGGGGGACTAGATTCTTTTTGGGGATGCAGCCAGCATCTGCCAGAAATTCCTGCATCTCCTTTAATTTTGCTTTCGGCCTCTTGGCAGCCTCCCTGACTCCCTGACTTCTAGTTTTCCCATCAATTTTGGAGGGACATTCTGTACTTGGTAATCTCACTGTTGTGCCATTGTTGATGATTGTCTGTGCTCCATGGTATATTTACTGGTTTGGATATTCTATCGTATTCTTCTCATCAGTACCTCTCAAAAAAAGATCCTGTTTATGCTTTGTAAGCTCTGGCTTTTGCAGTAGGATACAACCAAGAATGTGTCAGGAAATTCCTACAGGAACAGTTGAACTTTATTTGTGGTTAATAAGAGTCGCTTTAATTGGTGGTTGTTGTACACTGGTTACAAGTAAATATGAGTTTGAATGTGATTGGTTGATTCTAAATCCAGCCACATCCCCAGTTCTAGAAAGGTGTGCAACCTGTTTATTGTAGATTTTTTTTTTTCATTTTTTTACCCTTAAATGTTTCTGATTGTCTTTCACTTTCATTTCTAGGTTGAAATTTCACATTAAAGGTGGTTTCATTTTTTCACTGTACAAAACCATTTATATAGAGGTGTGTAAACTTTTTATATCCACCATGCATTTATAAATGAGTGCTGTGGAAACGTTTTACATACCTGGAGAATTGAGTAAGTAACTTTGTAGTAAGCACCTACTTGCTCAGAGAAACACTGATATTAGAATAAATACAAATAATATTAATACAGTAATTTTTACATTTTTTTTTCTTGTTTAACCACTTGCAAACCTCTTTTTGCAGCAGTCCAACATTAATTTTACATATAATAATCCTGTTTTGGCTAATCAATTTTTCATTACATCAAATCGTGTGTGCTTCTGATGGAATCAAACAAATCCATGTGATGGCTGGAGGCATCCCGGAGAAATCTGTGCTCTTCAAACTAGGTCACAAGACATCAACTACTATTTTAAAAACAAGAAATTCTTGTCACTTTGCACTGCATTGCTGTTTGTTTGCATTTATTCTAATGTTAAATAGGTTTAAACAGTTTGGTTAAATGTGTAAGACTTTTTCCCAGTTGATACATGACCTTTGGTCAAAATCAGTTGTATTGGCAACTGACCAGCAATGACATCTACAATTTGTGGATTGCAAGTTACAATTGAATATTAAAGGTATGGCTGCATATGAGGTCCAGTTAGAGGGCTGTGACTGTGTGTAGGTGTGGAACTGTGATCATGTTTCCATGTGTGTGTACATATTTGTGTATTGCATGTCTTTGACTTTGCCCTGCCTGTATCTATTGTGTGATCTAGTGACAGCAGTTGACCTCTGAGGTTGCTGTTTCATCACAGTTCGGAAGCCACAACTGACAGACAGTTCCTGCTACGTGTGCTGGCATTGACTCAGCCTTTAGTGTTCGCCCATATCCTGCATTTTTCTCATGATTTATTTATTTATTTATTTAATTTATTTAGTTGTGATGTGTTTTACATGACAATTTCCAACCTCTCTGTATCTCTTAGAATTAAATAAGCTGTTATTTTGCTTTTAAGACTGATACAGATGACCTGATTTCTGACTGAAGAATGTTTAGTGGATCCTTAAAAAAAGCAAACACTCCTTATAACTTCAGCGTAAGTGGGCGGAGCTGAACCGCTTTAGGCTGAATAGGTCAATGTATGTAAATGTGACATTCCAAGACTATAACTTCTGCCATTGCTGCGGTGATTGGTGCGGATGCTGAAGGAGGAGTTGCCTTTGAGGGCCCTATAGGTTTGATTGAAAGGTCGCACTGCCTAAATCATGTACTGTAAAGTGTCATGCGCCCTCAGCGACCACTTCTGTGTTGAGTTCAGCTCTAAAAATATCTCGGCCTTGTTGCCGTGGAATTCGCAAAACAAACCCTCTGTCTGAGCCTTGGTGGGTGGCAGCTTCAGTTTAATGGAGCACTAAACGAGGCCTCGGACTGTGAGCCGTAAAAACACTAAGTAGAATTTGTTGTTTTATCCGCATGAGCGTTCTGCCCTCCAGTCCGTTATCTGAAACTCCATTCGCAGCAGTGAATGTGGGCGCATGGAAAAAAACACCATCAAAAACAGTATTTAGTGCTTAATTGTTGTTCAGTATTTAGTTGTTGTGAGGTCTTTTTACACCAAGTAGATTCTACGAATTTAACACACTGAAACCTACACAGCGAATCGAATGTGCTTTTTTTTAATTTTACACTGAGATTAAAGGAAGAAATAGATTCATTTCATTTTTTATTTTTTGCCGGTGTGACTCAAAGATGCAGACACCAACAGCCCATTCATGGGCAACCTAACAGGAGCTGAAGCTCTATAGCAATACGCTGTTTGTGTGGTACAGTTTGAGGCTCTGCTTCAGCTCAGAGCTGAAAATACAATAGCAGCTATGAGCTCTGATACTTACTTTTTGTTTTGTTTTTTGATTATTTTTGGTCTGTAAAACCCAAAATTGAGGTGAAAAGGCCTTGCAACTTTGTTGCCCCTCTTGCAAATGAAAACAGTTTTAAATATGCAGAATATGTAACTGCAAAATAATGTGAAAAGGGGTATTTATAAATCATTTTCTTCTGATTTATTGTTTTTTTCATAATTGCTTTTCCTCCCCACCCTTAAAAATTCGAATCGCATTATCAGCAACCATAATTAGGCAGTTTTTATTGTTATTGTTAAAATGTTTAAAACACTGAAGCACACTGAAATTAACATTAAAAAATGTCTGGTTACACCGACTTACATTAAAAGTATGTTTTTTCCTTCTCCTGTAAAGTTCTAACTTTGGAGATACAACATTTTGTTCCAACAGCAGCGACTTGCTTCTACCTCTAAGGGTGGACAGTGTGGCAAAAATATCTCGATTCTTGGAGACATTTTCACGATACCCAAAGTATGTGGACACATGATCCTCACATCTGTATTAGCTTGTTAGACATCACGTTCCAAAATACATGAAGGCCCTCACTGGTACCAAGGGGCCCAAACCCTAAAGAAAACCCCTCCTTAACCAAACTTTACTGTTAGCACTGTGCATTCTGGTAGGTAACGTTCTCCTGGCATCTGCAAATCCCAGACTGCTAGATAGTAAAGCGTGATTCATCACTCCACAGAATACGGTTCCACTGCTCCAGAGTCCAGTGGTGGCGCTTTACACCACTCCATCTGACGCTTGGCATTGCACATAGTGGACGTAGGCTTGGGTGTAGCTGCTTAGCAATGGAAACTCATTTCATTAAAGGCTAAAAACATTTGAGTACTGAGTCCAAAGTCCAGCCGTGATGCTGTCTCTCCTGGACAGTTTCAGAGCAGCAGCAGGTTTCTCTCACAGCATAGTTCAGAGTTCATACTTCTGGCTTCAACACATGCACTTAAAGGTCACTCAGTGTAGGAAACCTTATCTTCCCCTCAGTCTAAATGCCACATACTGAGATAGAGGAGAATAGCCCTGGGGTGTGTGTGTGTGTGTGTGTGTGTGTGTGTGTGTGTGTGTGTGTGTGTGTGTGTTTTGAGTAGTGTTCAGGCATCCGAATAGACCTACTGACCTTCAGCTATGTAGGTATAACCTACAGTAAATGGCATACATTATTTTTAGATGTGAAGCACTTCATTGAACTGGCTTATAACATGCTTGCTTGCTCACTCAGGTTTAGCAGGCTGAAGGATCCTCCACAAGGGGGCACTATTAGCACTGAAGCAGTTCCTAGGTGTTACCTGTTTTCCTGCCAAATTGTGCTAATTTTAAAATTCAGTTGCAGAAGAAAAAATCATTTTAAAATATACAAAATGCAATGAACAGCAGTTTCTTCTGTGATTGTACACTTTAATGTGGGGCTTCTGGGGAGCAGCATTTAAACACATGTTGGACTGGAGATTTTTGGCAACCCTGCTGGACCTGGCAACCCTGCACTCATGTAGCTTTTGGTGCTTCATAAGAGTGGTACTTTGTGTCCTGGTTAGTTCTGTGTTACTGTTTTAAATCAGATTTCTCTTTTCCTTATGCTTTAAAAAATTATAATAGTATAAAAGTGTAATATTACTAATCATAACATGTAAGTTTTTATAAAACACTCTACCTTTGCTGCCTAAACTAAAAGCAGAATTTGAACTTTCCATCCAGGTCTGGTAGGTAATGAATCATTTCAAGGGGATGTTAACGTCTTAACCAATTAATTATGCAACAGTGTTGACAAATCCTTAGAATTCTTTAATAAAAGAGGTTACATTATAAAATAAATGAACTTCTGTCGCATTGAGCATCTGATTGAAGTGAACGAATCCTTTTTTTTGAGTATCAGTCTGAGGATAAAAACTGTTTTCCATGTTTCTTTTTCTGTAATTCATTGCGGTGAACTCCAGCATGTGTCCTCTTCCCCTCCTGTCTTTAGCTGCTAACAGCGCCTGGATAAAGAAGCATCCAGAATGCGGCTACAACCTGCTGAACTCTCCCCACCTGCGGCCCGCCTGGGTGCTGGACAGGGCGCTGTGGCATGTGACCTGTGACATCGCAGATGGAAAGTACGCTGAGCGAGGCGTCCCAGCACTCGTGCAGAGCGAGCACCACCTCAATGTGAGTGTGTTTATGTTTGCAGGCAGATTTTTATCTGTACTTTATGATTTATGTGATCACTTTAAAAGACAGTCCGGTTTCTCCCTCCTCCTCTCAGGCCATCCGAGGAATCTTCTGGCAGGACGTGTTTCCCAAGCTTAAGCTGTGGGAATTTTTCCAGATCAAGGTTGAGCCTCTAGTGGAGCAGTTCCGGACTTTGCTCCAGACAGGTGGGTTTAGCAGAAAGCTGTGTAAAAACACATTTTTAGAAAAGAACTTAACTGAACACGGCATTTTAGACCATGATTACACCTGGCTGTTTCTTGCGACAGGTATCTGGATTGTACACTTAGAAATCAAATGCATCCCCGTTTAGTGGGATTGAAAGCCATAATATGCATATATGCTCATATACAACAACCAGTTGCCCGTGATATTCATTGTTTTTACTTTTCTATTCAAAAGATGATTGCAGGCTTGAAAAATCATGATTATTTTATATTAACTCAGCAAATAAATACAAATTGTGCACTAAAATTTGCAGAAAATGTAATATGTGTGTTCTTTTTAGAGGATGTGTTGACTTATTTTCACTTCGAAAACCGATAAAACGTGATTTGACCAGGGGTGCCCAAACTTTTGCATACTGCTGTAAGAGTGTGAGCGGTGAGTGGGCAGGAGAAGAGCACAAACATCTTTCCCAGCAAAAAAAAAAACCTTCAAAACAAATTATATCATTTTTAAACACAATGATGGCATATAGTTTTGTTATAAGCAGTAATATAGCAGAATCAACTCCAATCTGAAAAAAAGTTGTTATGATTTCATCTTTGTTTTTTTACCCTTTCTTTCAAATATATTATCACCAACTAGACTGACTGCAGGTCAGTCCGGCTAAAACACTGGCCAGGAAAATGGCTTTCGAGTGTGTCAAACTGAAATAGTCCATGAAGAACACAAAACAAAGAGCAACCTTGAGAGATTTAGAATGTCTTTTTGTTCAGACCAGGTTAAACTGTATTTACCTATCCATTACAAACTGTGTTCAGGGGCCAAACCTGACAGGAGTAAAACAGACGGCAAGAAGCAGCTGAAGATCATCCAGGACCCTCAGTACAGACGCTTTGGAAGCACAGTGGACATGAATGCAGCCCTGGAGATCTTTGTGCCCAGTGGGTCAGTGTGGTGCTGCACGTTTCACTGAACCTGTGTGGCCTTATGCTGCATTTGTGTTGTGATGGTAGATGGTGAACAGCAAACCAGAAAGTCAGTGTCTTTCAGTGGAGTGGCAGCTGAAACTGCTGCGTAATGCAGCAGGTGGAGGAACGTTCCTCCAGGGGCTGCTGTTCCTTTATGTTCTCCCCCATACACTCTGTTCCTTCACGTTCTCCTCCATACACTCTGTTCCTTCACGTTCTCCTCCATACACGCTGTTCCTTCACGTTCTCCATACACTCTGTTCCTTCATGTTCTCCCCCATACACGCTGTTCCTTCACGTTCTCCTCCATACACTCTGTTCCTTCATGTTCTCCCCCATACACACTGTTCCTTCACGTTCTCCCCCATACACGCTGTTCCTTCACGTTCTCCCACATACACGCTGTTCCTTCATGTTCTCCCCCATACACGCTGTCCCTTCACGTTCTCCCACATACACTCTGTTCCTTCATGTTCTCCCCCATACACGCTGTTCCTTCACGTTCTCCCACATACACGCTGTTCCTTCACGTTCTCCCACATACACGCTGTTCCTTCATGTTCTCCCCCATACACGCTGTCCCTTCACGTTCTCCCACATACACGCTGTCCCTTCACGTTCTCCCCCATACACGCTGTCCCTTCACGTTCTCCCCCATACACGCTGTTCTTTCGCGTTCTCCCCCATACACGCTGTTCTTTCGCGTTCTCCCCCATACACGCTGTTCCTTCACGTTCTCCCCCATACACGCTGTTCTTTCGCGTTCTCCCCATACACGCTGTTCTTTCGCCTTCTCCCCCATACACGCTGTTCTTTCACGTTCTCCCCCATACACGCTGTTCCTTCATGTTCTCCCCCATACACGCTCTTCTTTCGCGTTCTCCCCTATGCACGCTGTTCTTTCACGTTCTCCCCCATACACGCTGTTCTTTCGCGTTCTCCCCATACACGCTGTTCTTTCACGTTCTCCCCCATACACGCTGTTCTTTCGCGTTCTCCCCATACACGCTGTTCTTTCACGTTCTCCCCCATACACGGTGTTCTTTCGCGTTCTCCCCATACACGCTGTTCTGTCGCGTTCTCCCCCATACACGCTGTTCCTTCATGTTCTCCCCCATACACGCTGTTCTTTCGCGTTCTCCCCGATACACGCTCTTCTTTCGCGTTCTCCCCATACACGCTGTTCTTTCGCGTTCTCCCCCATACACGCTGTTCTTTCATGTTCTCCCACATACACGCTGTTCCTTCATGTTCTCCCCCATACACGCTGTTCCTTCATGTTCTCCCCCATACACGCTGTTCTTTCGCGTTCTCCCCCATACACGCTGTTCTTTCGCGTTCTCCCCCATACACGCTGTTCCTTCACGTTCTCCCCCATACACGCTGTTCTTTCGCGTTCTCCCCATACACGCTGTTCTTTCGCCTTCTCCCCCATACACGCTGTTCTTTCACGTTCTCCCCCATACACGCTGTTCCTTCATGTTCTCCCCCATACACGCTCTTCTTTCGCGTTCTCCCCTATGCACGCTGTTCTTTCACGTTCTCCCCCATACACGCTGTTCTTTCGCGTTCTCCCCATACACGCTGTTCTTTCACGTTCTCCCCCATACACGCTGTTCTTTCGCGTTCTCCCCATACACGCTGTTCTTTCACGTTCTCCCCCATACACGGTGTTCTTTCGCGTTCTCCCCATACACGCTGTTCTGTCGCGTTCTCCCCCATACACGCTGTTCCTTCATGTTCTCCCCCATACACGCTGTTCTTTCGCGTTCTCCCCGATACACGCTCTTCTTTCATGTTCTCCCACATACACGCTGTTCCTTCATGTTCTCCCCCATACACGCTGTTCCTTCATGTTCTCCCCCATACACGCTGTTCTTTCACGTTCTCCCCCATACACGCTGTTCCTTCATGTTCTCCCCCATACACGCTCTTCTTTCGCGTTCTCCCCTATGCACGCTGTTCTTTCACGTTCTCCCCCATACACGCTGTTCTTTCGCGTTCTCCCCATACACGCTGTTCTTTCACGTTCTCCCCCATACACGCTGTTCTTTCGCGTTCTCCCCATACACGCTGTTCTTTCACGTTCTCCCCCATACACGCTGTTCTTTCGCGTTCTCCCCGATACACGCTCTTCTTTCGCGTTCTCCCCCATACACGCTGTTCTTTCGCGTTCTCCCCGATACACGCTCTTCTTTCGCGTTCTCCCCATACACGCTGTTCTTTCGCGTTCTCCCCCATACACGCTGTTCTTTCGCGTTCTCCCCGATACACGCTCTTCTTTCGCGTTCTCCCCATACACGCTGTTCTTTCGCGTTCTCCCCCATACACGCTGTTCTTTCATGTTCTCCCACATACACGCTGTTCCTTCATGTTCTCCCCCATACACGCTGTTCCTTCATGTTCTCCCCCATACACGCTGTTCTTTCACGTTCTCCCCCATACACGCTGTTCCTTCATGTTCTCCCCCATACACGCTCTTCTTTCGCGTTCTCCCCTATGCACGCTGTTCTTTCACGTTCTCCCCCATACACGCTGTTCTTTCGCGTTCTCCCCATACACGCTGTTCTTTCACGTTCTCCCCCATACACGCTGTTCTTTCGCGTTCTCCCCATACACGCTGTTCTTTCACGTTCTCCCCCATACACGGTGTTCTTTCGCGTTCTCCCCATACACGCTGTTCTTTCGCCTTCTCCCCCATACACGCTGTTCTGTCGCGTTCTCCCCCATACACGCTGTTCCTTCATGTTCTCCCCCATACACGCTGTTCTTTCGCGTTCTCCCCGATACACGCTCTTCTTTCGCGTTCTCCCCATACACGCTGTTCTTTCGCGTTCTCCCCCATACACGCTGTTCTTTCATGTTCTCCCACATACACGCTGTTCCTTCATGTTCTCCCCCATACACGCTGTTCCTTCATGTTCTCCCCCATACACGCTGTTCCTTCATGTTCTCCCCCATACACGCTGTTCCTTCATGTTCTCCCACATACACGCTGTTCCTTCATGTTCTCCCCCATACACGCTGTTCCTTCATGTTCTCCCCCATACACGCTGGTTCAAAATTACCAATTACTACCAAAATTAGGATGCTGGTATTTGTTGGCGTTTGTTGAAAAGAGGAAGGCCTGGACTTTTTATTCTCAGATGACCACATGCACTCATTGATTCTGTTATAGAAACAGTCCAGGGGCCATTGAGGATTGCTGTAACTGGCTCAGGAAGAGGCTGGAGGAACTGAACGCAGAACAGTACAAAGAGGTCAACTATCATCAGGAACAGGTCAGCTCCACTTGTCTGTCTGTCTGTCTGTCTGTCTGTGTTTTTTCTTTCTTTGCTCTCTTCAATTCCCTTCCCAGTGGTTTCAGTTGGTTACTCTATCTCGTCCTCCTCTAGGCTACTAACTGTAGCCTTGGTACAGTGTCTTATGAGCGCTTGGCTGGTCATGGTCCCAAGCTTGGCCCTGTCACCAGAAAGCACCCTCTGCTCACAAGGTAATGCCATACAACTCACGTCACTGTCCGATAAACTTTGAGTCTCTGTAAGAGATGCGTTATTCATAAAATAAACAAACAGAGGGGGCAAGTACACCAAAAATGTCTTAAAATGTACTGATTTTCTGGTTTACCTGCAGGTATTTCACTTTCCCATTTAAAGAGTCGACTCTGGAGCAGGACCTGCCACTCATGGACCAACCAAACAAAGCGTGTCATTTCCTGGCCCACAACGGCTGGGTGATGGGGGACGATCCACTGAGGAACTTTGCAGAACCAGGTCAGCCTCTAAACACGTGTATTTTTTGTTTTTGCTCCCCTTTCTAATTAGCGTCATGTGTATTTGTCCTGTATATTATCATATACAGTCATCGTCCAAAAAATGGTTGCACCCAGAAAGAATCAACCGACAGGAATGAAACTTGGTGGGCAGGTTTGACATTGTGAGACATGCGAGTGGCCTCATCACTGTACCTGACTGACTATATAAGGTCGTCCCATTGCGTGTGCTTTCCATTCTGATCCGTGCTGTTGTGTTGGAAGCATGCTTTGCAAGCAAAGTTTGCCTCGGAGAAGAGTTCGAAAGCAGTTTGAGCAGTTGGAGGAGTTCGAGAGGGGTCGCATCGTAGGGCTCCATGAAGCAGGATGGTCTTATCGACATATTGCGCAGCATACCGGTCATGCAGATATTACCGTAGTACGCTGTTGGCGGAAGTGGATAGAAGAAGGCACACACTGGCGACATGAAGGATCTGGGAGACCTATTCGAACCCTGGAGAGGGAGAACCGACAGATCGTCCAACATGCGCGGAGTGACCCAGCAGCCACGATTGTGGACATGCAGTGAGCAGTGATGCCCTCCATGACTACGTGCATGCAGACCGTAATGACGACTGCCCTTAACACCACGTCAAAGTCACCAAAGACCGCAATGATGCCGTGCCAGACTGTCATGGAGTGACTCAGAATGGCAGCAGGTCATCTTCACTGTCAAGTCCCGCTTCTGTCTTGGTGGAGACGACCAACGAGTCCATGTTTGGAGGCACCGTGGTCAGCGCCAAGATGAACGGTTTGTTGTCATGCGTCACACGTCCAGGAGGCCTGGTGTCGTGGTGTGGGGTGCAATTTTGTACAATGTCAGATCACCTTTGGTCTTCATTACAGGTTCTAAAATACCCGATTTTCTCCCCAATTTAGTCGTCTCCAATTCCACCCGCTAGTTAGGACTCCCCCAATCACACGATGCTATCAACGCTAGGAGGGTGAAGGCTAACACAGGCTTCCTCCGAGACCTGTGAAGCCAACCACCGCTTCTTTTCGAACTGCCGCTCACGCAACGTCACTGGACAGCCGAACGCGCTCGGAGGAAAGCGCCAACCGCCAGATCTGTTACGTCAGCTAACAGACGCCTGCGCTGACTAGCATCGCGCTGAGTGATGGGGGGAGAAGGAGGAGCCATCTTACCCACCCAGAGAGAGCGAGGCCAATTGTGCTCTCTCGGACTCCCAGCTACGGACGGCCGTAGCATCACCAGGGATCGAACTCGCGATCTCCTGATGATAGGGCCAACGCTTAGGCGGTTGCGCCACTCGGGAGCCCATTACAGGTTCTTTGACAGCCCAACTTTATGTTAATGAGGTCCTGCAACCAGTGGCCCTACCTTTTCTGAACGCACACTCCGGTGCGCTGTTCCAACAGGACATTGCAATCCGACACTTCCTTCTGGGTGCAACTGTTTTTTTGACGATGAGTGTATTGTTGTTCTGTGTAGTCATTGTCTTGTGTATTTACTGTTCTGTATATTTATTTTCAAGTGTGTTTACTGTATATTCTGCACTCAGTTCACACTGTAGTGTATCTGCACTTTATGTAGTCCTGTGTAATGTAATGCTGTGGTGTGTTGCACCATTAAGCCTGAAGAATGACATTTAATTCCAATGTATAAACGTTATATTGAGGAATATCAATAAAGACCACTTGGCTTGACAGAAACACTCAGAATAGGATAATAATAATAATAATAATAATAATAATAAGGAATGTGAACTTAGTTTTCTTGCAGTTAGAGGCGTTTCCTGTCTCTGAAGATAAGTCATTTTATTCAGCTAAGTTAATATGCAGGAAGATTTCTCTATAAGCTTGTAGTTTCTGTTTGGACCACATGGTGGAGCTGTCAGCACAGATTTTAAAGACAGAGTGGCAGTATGTGCTGAGTGTTTTGTTTGCGAGAACAGTAAGAGCTGTTTCTTCACTGTTTCCCCCACTCAGGCTCTAACGTGTACATCAGGAGAGAGCTGATCTGCTGGGGCGACAGTGTGAAGCTTCGCTATGGTAACGGCCCGGAAGACTGCCCATACCTGTGGGCCCACATGCAGAAATACACGGAGATCACAGCCAAATACTTTGCAGGCGTTCGTCTAGACAACTGCCACTCAACCCCGCTACATGTAGCCGAGGTACAGTGCCTGACTGGATAAGTATAAATGGAAAATATTTCATAATAAGTTTAATAAAAAACGCTGAATCAGGATTTTAGAAATATTTTATTAAAAGTGCTCTATTATTCTTTTTCTGGCCACTTTATGAGCTCCACCTACCATATAGGTCAACTACAGACTATTGGTGTCCAGTTACAGACTATAACAGTTTTTTGCGTTACCACTCAACACCATTCACCATTGGTTAGTTCATTATTATTTAGGTGGTGTTTCATTAGCAGCACAGCAGTGACACTGACCTGTGAGTGTGTGTGGTGCTGGTACGAGTGTATCAGACACACATGAGCTACAGTCTCTAACTGTACACCAGCAAGGTGGAGCTACAAGAGAGGGGTTTCTAATAAAGTGGCCAGTAATGGTATTATTTTCAGTAATGGGGCCTAAAAGTCTCTTGATAGTATTTATGTTAATTAAGCGTTTATCCAAACACATCTCTGCCTTTTCATCGTACCATGTAAAGCACTTTGTTCTTGTTAGTGTAGAATGTTGAAGGAATAATTTATTGAAAAATCACATTCGCATTTTTGTTCTTACTTCAAATGTAGATGAGGTTTGCTGCTTGATTTTGCACTGGAGCTACAAGGCTAATATAGCTTGAATATAATGGAAGCGTATAGCCCACCAGTTAGCACAATGCATGCCAGAATCTTCACATACTCGTCTGAATCTATGTGGAGTTGTTAAGTAATCTCAAATAGACTTGCTTATGCAGTGGCATACTACTATCTAATAACATCAACAGCTGTATGGTGCGTATCTAGTTTTGTCCATAGACCTCTGAAGTTGTGCCATTGTTCATCATGCCCCATATTAGGACTCCAGGTCTAAGAAGCTGAAAAATCAGTGCTGTCGCCTCCCTGTGATAAACTGAAATGTTTCAAAGCTCATACAGATATTTTCCCTCAGCAGATCCTCTGAATCACATCATTAGGTAGTCAAAAATACAACGATTGCTACATGCAGGCTGACACTGCTGCAAACTGAATTGACCTCAAAAGACTGGACAGCTCACAGCTTTTACATGTGGTAGTTAAAGCTGCGTGATGTAAGACTATATTGTTAAAAATGAAAGAGGTAGCATTTCTGAGGCACAAAAAACGGGCTAAAAGCCTGAAATGATCATTTAAAAAGTCAGAGTCGTTGGGTCGGGGGTTTTTCCAATTATGTTGTACGTTTTACATATCAACGCCACACGTACAGGCTCAAAAAGAAAGTCCAGCTCGATGCTTAGGTCTTAAATGACGTCAAAATCAACATCATACTGAAGAAGATATGATTACAATAGTAGATTATTCAGTCAAGTTTTGACTGAGTTCCCTTTAAATTCTCTTTCAACGTACTTGCAATCATCAGATTCATCCCCTGGGGGAAGGGCTCCGAAGAACAGCCAACATTACGGAATGTTCTTCCACACGATGCATGCAATTACACACTTCCACCAGGGAGGTCTCCAAATCTCCAAAAGTTAAGTAGTGCGGCTCTAAGTTGATTTGGCAGTTGTAGCTTCCAGTTTGAGTAGCTGGTCTTGATATATAATAGTGTTTTTCGTTTAATAGTAGACTTTTATGCTACATCATTTAAATTTTTCCTTCTCCTGTAAAGTTACCATTTTGGAGATACGAGGTTTTCTTCCGACAACAGCGAAATCGCAATTTTTCTCTCGTAATATCGTCTAAACTAGCATAGTACGGGCTTGCCTTCATCTCGTCCATTCTGCTTTTCACTTCCTGCCCTCCATCTGGATTTCGCGTGTCATCGAAATCACGACTATTGCTTAGTAGCCACATTAGCTTTGTAGCTTCAGTGCAAAAATAAAGAAGCAAACTTAACAAACATGTCTTCTCTAATCGCCTTCATTTGGGGTAAGAAGGGGAAAACTTTGTACTCCTGATTTTTCACTGAGCTATTCCTTTGATACTACCATAAGAAATAGACCATACTTGGTGAGAAGAAGACGAATCCGCTCTTACGGTCCGTTTCTCACTCTGCAGGCCATGCTGGCTGCGGCCAGGGCGGTCAGGCCCAATCTGTATGTGATAGCTGAGCTGTTTACGGGCAGCGAGCTGATTGACAATGTGTTTGTAAACCGGCTGGGAATAAGCAGTCTGATCAGAGGTACTGCCGGGCTGGAGGGTGCGTGGGGGAATGTGGGTTAATGCTGTGCGTTAGCATGACACTAACGGAGTCTTTATGTTTTTGTGTCTCCATACATTAAAACCTCTCTCTTTTCTCTTCATCTCTCTTTACCATGTGCCCTCACTTTATCATAACCCTCTATATGTACAATATTAACTTCTACCTTCCACCCAACACCTCTTCTGTCCTGTCTGCCGTTTCTCTTCTGAGGCATGTTTCCTCCCTTTCTATACTAAACCTCCCCTCTGTCTCTCTAACTGGACCTCTTGGCTAGCACACTCTATCTCTTTCTCTTCTCTCTCTCTCTCTCTCTCTCTCTCTCTCTCTCTCTCTGTCTGTCTGCTGTGGGGTGCTCTAACTTGGGGTCGTAGTTCATGCTGGCTGCAGCCCGTGCCATCAAGCCTGACCTGTACGTGGTGGCTGAACTATTCACGGGCAGTGAGGAGCTGGACAATGTGTTTGTGACTAGACTAGGCATCTCCTCACTCATCAGAGGTAGGCCATTTAACACACTATTTGAAGGGGAATTCCACTGATTTTTCTAAAATTCTGCAGAATTCTACTGTTGAGATGTATTCAGAGAGGTTTGGTGTGAAATGGTTGGTTGTAGAGCCTCAGATTGCTTTACAGTGGTGGTGATAGGAACTGGGGTCACAATAAACCTTCATGTGTCTTCTGAGTATTTATGTAATGTTGATGATGGTAAAATAATGGAAAATCATATTTTTTTTTCTTTAATTTGCATTAAAATGCCCTGCATGTACCACTCTACCATCAATATATTTAAAAAATGTATGCTTTATGACAAAACCTTCTTAAAACTATAGGAAAACTGTGTCTCAGACGGCAGACAGTATTTTTCATAATAGGGCTGAGCAATATGACAATCATCATCATGATACATTTAAGCAGTAGAACATGAGAGGGAGTGTGTTATCGACTTCGGCTCGTGCCTGCGAACAAATCACAGCCGTGGTGTTATTCGCGATAACACATGACCTCGAGTGTCTATTGCTTTTATACAACAGTTAAATAAATACAGTAATAAATTAATAAACTGGGCCGTGAACGCGGCGTTTAATATGTTTTAATGTTCGCAGTTCCTTCACCAAATTATAGTTCCTTAACAAGCAGCTTGTTGCTACGTCAGAGTAACGAGCTCTGGTCACTCGCTGCTCAGTCTGCTGTAAGCCTCGCATTATGAAGTACTGAGCCATAAAACTGCCGCAATATCAAGTTCAGCTCAGTTTTGTCATTTTTTGCCAGATCAGTATTAATGTAGTTTTGTTCCAGCCAGTCTGTAAAGCATCTTACAGCCCGTTTTGTTTGGCGAATGGTGTTGGGTTCATTTCTGGCTGATTACAGGTTGTTTAGCTGTTCTTCTGTCTCAGCTGCTGACTGAAAAGCTGCTCAGCGGTGATGACAGTTTGGGAATTTAGTGTCGTCTCATCTTCAGAGTCTGACCAAATCGGCTGTCGGTCAAATGTGATCTTAAAAGTGTCCATTTTCTGTTTGTGGCAAAGTAAGAAGAAAAATGTTCAAATGGCTCGAGCGTCTCCTACAGCTTGGTGAAGTGCATTGTGTGAAATATAAAATACAAATCACGCATACTTTTTTTTTTTATTTGGCATTACTGGCTCTTTTTGGCTTTATTGAACTTATAATATGTAAGAAAAAATGAATCACTGTGACATATCGTGTATTTTGAAAATGAAGTATCTTGAAGTATCGTGCTAGATTTTGTCATCATAACCATCTAATAACTTTCTGTGAGGGAGCTTTTAGAGGTGGACGTCTGGTTCCTATCACCACCACTGTGAACAATTCTGACTCTGTAAGTGTCTCTAGAACAGAGTGTTTAACACCAAACCACTCTGAACGACTCTGTTTACATCTCAACTATTTAATTATGCAGAACTTTTAAAAAGTCATGGAATTCCCCTTTAACACACTGAAACCTGGAAGAATTAAAAAATGGAACATGTGTTAATTATTAAACATTGCGTCGCTGTCATAATCTCACATCTCAGAAATGGGAACTTCACTGGAGGAAGTAACATTTTCTTAATTGCACTGTATGTAAATGTTATTGACTTTCATTCCAGTTAATTTGGGACCATTTCTGTTGGTTCATGAAATATGCACCAAATAAAAAGGACAGCTATTTTTTTAATGGTGTGAAGAAATGACAGCGATGATACATAAAAAAAGAGAATCTGAAGGAAAAGTTTGGAATGTAAAACCAATATGTTTGCAGACAAATGTGTAAAATGATTCTAATCTGCTTGTCCTGCACATCTTCCCAGGTTTTGAATGATCAGAAGGAAACTAAGAAGTTGTAACATATATATATATATATATATATGTATATATATATGTATAGTGACGAATTGAGCTGTAGAAGATTCCGATATTCTGAGATTCTGTAGTTGTAATAAAATCAACATCCAGAATTCGTCATATTTCAACAGGGCAGATCAAATTTCAAGGCAAATAACTAGACAAAATTGATAAGTACAGCATGTCGCCGCTGTCGGAACAAAACCTTGTATCTCCATTTTTGACGTTTTTCAGTTTTTGGCATAATCTGAAAATGTCTGTTGCCCTTTACATTGTGTGTAAATGTCATGAAGAATGGACCAAAAGAAACGGCCCAAAATGACTTGGAAAAAAAGTCTGGTTCCTTTGACTTACATTGAAGTTAATGTAGGTTTTTTCCTTCTCCTGTAAAGTTACCATTTTGGAGATACGAGGTTTTGGTCCGACAGCAGGGATATAACTTATCATTAAATAGATTCTTATTCACAGAATTCTTGAAATATTCAATAAAAAATGTCCTTTGATGAATAGTTTGTAATATTTCTATACTTCACTGTGAGTTATTGTTGTATATATAACAGAAAAACTGTTAACATGTCAAGTGATTCCAAACTTTTGAACACTAGTTTATAAGATGGAGGAAATTTGGGAGGAATTTGTCGCTCTAACTTGGCTAACAGTGAACAAAAGCAAGTTAGTAAGGCGTTATGACTGTAGACTGATTCTATTTGGCCCCTGCTTTCGCTCAAGATCAGCAAAATAAGCATTTTGGGGTAAAGCATTCCTTTAACAGAGCCTGGCAAACTCACATGTAAACAAAACTGACTCAGCCTCATTTGCTGTTTGCGATTGTGTGTGTTTTTTTGCATTAACTGGACTCTTTTCTCAGAGGATGTATTAGTTTTAAAGGGCACGTATCATGGAAAACCAGAACTCCATCGCTTTTCTGAAATAAAGAAGTTTAAAGTAATATGTGAACATTAAAGTTTCAATATGACCCAGTCCACATAATCTATATATAGTTCTACAGTTACAGACTGTAGTCCATCTGTTTGTCTGCATACTTTGTCAGCCCCCTTTAACCCTGTTCTTCAGTGGTCAGGACCCCCATGGACCCTCACATAGCAGGCACTATTGGGTGGTGGGTCATTCTCAGCACTGCAGTAACACTGACGTGGTGGTGGTGCGTTAGTGTGTGTTGTGCTGGTCTGAGTGGATCAGACACAGCAGCGCTGCTGGAGTTTTTGCCAACAGCGTCCTGTGGGCAGCGTCCTGTAACCACTGATGAAGGACTAGAGGATGACCAGCACAAACTGTGCAGCAGCAGATGAGCTATCGTCTCTGACTTTACATCTACAAGGTGGACCAACAAGGTAGGAGTGTCTAGTAAAGTGGACAGTGAGTGGACACAGTGTTTAAAAACTCCAGTAGCACTGCTGTGTCTGATCCACTCGTACCAGCGCAACACACACTAACACACCACCACCATGTCAGTGTTACTGCAGTGCTGAGAATGATCCACCACCCAAATAGTACCTGCTCTGTGAGGGTCCATGGGGGTCCTGACCACTGAAGAACAGGGTAAAAGGGGGCTAACAAAGTATCAGAGAAACAGATGGACTACAGTCTGTAACTGTAGAACTACAAAGTGCACCTATATAGTAAGTGGAGCTGATAAAATGGACAATGAGTGTCGAAACAAGGAATAACATAATGTTATGCCTGATCGGTGTATAGCCACCTATTCAGAACAGAACAGACTTTATTTACAAACATCAGTCTTAAAGGCGCAGTAACAAAAACAGCCTGTTTAACTCAGAGAGATGGAGAGAGGTTGGAAAGTGGTACATAAACCACTCAAACCTTATAATTGCACCCCAAAAGAAAAGCACAGGATACAAGAAAAATCCCTTTATGGGTCCTATAGGTTGCAATTTGTCAGTATCCGATGCTGGTCATCATGCTGCTAAAACACATTTCTAAGTATGTGCATTTTGATTTTGCTCATGTGTGAGTCGTGCCACATCTGGATAAGTGATATACACAGTCCTACAGTAAACCCCTAACATGTAGCTTTGTCCAAGCAGCTATGAAGATGCTCCATATAAGGACTAAAAGCCTTTTTCACTACACAGAGTTCTGGCATTTAACCCAAAGGAGATGTTTTTTACCTAGAAAAGGGTCCAATATATGCAACTGTTGAATTTTAAAGAATATTTGTGTTATAGATTTTACACATTTTTAACCCTCAGAAGTGTAGAGTTAGTATTGTTCTTTTTGCTAGAGATTTGATTTTATTATGTAATTCTTTACACACTGCAAAAAGTAATATCTTAACAAGTGAAAACATCTTAGATGTAGTCAATAAATCTAATATTCCTCATTATAAGACTGTTGTAAGAATATTATAATATTGTTCCACCTGTTTCTGCACATTTTTACTTGTTTTAAGTGATTTTATCTGGTGAAAGTGTCTTATTCCATTGGCAGATTAGTTTACTTATTTTGAGAAATAATCTTTTGTTTTGTTAAATACTCTCACAGTATTCTTACAAGAGTCTCATAATGAGAAATATTAGATATATTGACTACATTTAAGATATTTACACTTGCTAAGATATCATTTTTTGCAGTCTATGGAATTACATATCACACAACTTGTTTAAATCATAGTTAAATGTCTCCAAAATATATATCCAAATATAGTATGGAGACACTTTCTGTGCTTGTTTCAATGAGCTACAAGTGAGAAATAATTCATATAAAATTATGTTTTTGGAGATGAGTGCAGCTCATGCAGGGTTAACCGTGCTGGCTGATGCTCCTGTAATGCGGTGTGTTTGTGTCGGTTCAGAGGCGATGAGCGCGGGGGACAGTCATGAAGAAGGCCGCTTGGTGTACCGTTATGGAGGAGAGCCTGTGGGAGCTTTCCTGCAGCCCAGCATGCGGCCACTGGTGCCCAGCATCGCACACGCCATGTTCCTGGACGTTACCCATGACAACGAGTGTCCCATTCAGGTACCTCAGCTAACAGGTTTACTGCTTCGTTTGTTTAGTAGTTATTTATATGAGGAAATGCACAGCGTACGTCACTGTTTACTTTGAGTTTGCATGACGCAGTAAAAAAATTTGAGACACTATAAGTTTGTATAGTTTATCTGTGTGTACTGTGTCTGTGGTCTGTCTGTACTGCGGTCTGCAGCTGATCTGTGTTAAATGTAGCACTGTGTCCTGGAGAAACTACATTTCATTCCTCTCTCAACACATCTGTGGAAAGAAATGACCGTAAAGCTGACTTTGATTTGACTTTAACTTTGATATGTTGGCCTTCCTTACAGAAAAAAAGAAATGTGTTATATTATGTTATATTATACTATATTACATTGTGTTATATTATATTATATTGTGTTATATTATATTATATTATATTACAGTATATCATATCATATTATATTATGTTATATTGTGTTATATTATGTCTCAATTTCACATGAAAAGAGAATGAATAAATTAGAGGATACTTGAAAGACATTTAAGGTGAGACATAAATGCCGGTAGTGTTTGGGGATGAGAAAAGAAGGAATGAAAGCAGGAATGAATGAATGAAGGAAGGAAGGAAGGAAGAAATGAAGGAAAGAAGGAATGAAAGCACAAATGAGTGGAGGAATGAAGAAATTAATAAGGGAAGGAAGGAAGGAAAGAATAAAGGAATGAATGAATGAAGAAATGAAGGAGCGAATAATTGAAGAAATGAAGGAAGAAAGGAATAAAAGCACAAATAAAGGAAGGAAGGAAGGAAGGAAGAAATGAAGGAATGAAAGCACAAATGAATGGAGGAATGAAGAAATGCATAAGGGAAGAAAGGAAGAAATGGAAGGAATGAATGAAAAGAATAAGTCATTTGAAAAAAACTGTACACTGGGTGATGGGTAAAAAAATAATAATTGCTGTTATTTTCTTCAGTAATAAGTATAATAATAACTCATACAGTGTAGATTAAAACACAATACGCTTGATATAACAATGCAGTTTCAAGTTTAGAGGAAAAACTAAAATAATTTATTACTTATTTACAGTCATTTCTTAATATGTGCTTTGAGACTCCGTGACCAGTCTTCAAATATGAGGCATTCTGGATGTTCATTTTATTATAATGTTCTCTGTTTTACAGCTTTATCAGTTCATACAGAATCATCTGCAGCTCCGTTCTTATTTCCAACACTTCTTCATTTGTTCCTTCACACAAACTACAATAATAGCATCATAATAGTCAATTTCATACATGTGTCTGCAACAAAACTGGTTTTATATTAATGAAAAGAGTCATTCCAAACTTTTGAAAGGTAGAGTACATAAAGGACGTTTAGGATGAGGCAGAAGTGCACATATACAGTCGTATACACAAAAGTTTGGGCTTTTTTTTGCGTGCCACCCCCTCATCAGAGGACTATTAAAACTTTATTTTTATTTGTAATACATTCATGAGGGAGGATATATAAGCAAAAACAAACAGACAGGTAGACAAAAACAAGAAAAGGGGAAAAAGACGAAAGCCTTTGTTGGTGATGAAGCTTCAAGACGCCTCCTGTATGGAGAAACTAGTCGCATGCATTGCTCAGGTGTGATTTTGGCCCGTTCTTCCACACAAACACTCTTCACATCCTCAAGGTTCCGTGGGCTCCTTCTATGAACTCTGAGCTTTAGTTCTTTCCATAGATTTTCAATTGGATTCAGGTCAGGTGATTGGCTGGGCCATTCTAGCAGCTTTATTTTCTTTCTCTGAAACTAATTGAGAGTTTCCTTGGCTGTGTGTTTGGGATCATTGTCTTGCTGAATTGTCCACCCTCGTTTCATCTTCATCATCCTGGTAGATGGCAGCAGATTTCTATCAAGAATGTCTTGGTACATTTGTCCATTCATCCTTCCTTCAATGATATGAAGCGTGGCAGTGCCGTATGCTGAAAAACAGCCCCACACCATGATGTTCCCACCTCCAAACTTCACTGTTGGTATGGTGTTTTTGGGGTGGTATGCAGTGCCTTTTGACCTCCAAACATGGTGTGTATTATGGCATCCAAAGAGTTTTGGATCTCATCTGCCCAGACTATATTCTCCCAGTATTTCACAGGCTTGTCTAAATGTTGATGAGCAGACTTTAAACGAGCTTAACATGCTTTTTCTTCAGCAGTGGAGTCTTGCGTGGTGAGAGTGCATACAGGCCATGGCGGTTGAGTGCATTACTTATTGTTTTCTTTGAAACAATTGTACCTGCTGATTCCAGGTCTTTCTGTAGCTCTTCACAAGTGGTCCTTGGCTCTTGGGCAACTCTTCTGCTAATTCTTTTCACTCCTCTGCCTGAAATCTTGCAGGGAGCACCTGGTCGTGGCCGGTTTATGGTGAAATAATGTTCTTTCCACTTCCGGATTATGGCCCCAACAGTGCTCACTGGAACCTTCAGCAGTTTAGAAGTTCTTCTGTAACCAGTGCCATCAGTATGTTTTGCAACAATAAGGTTGCGAAGGTCTTGAGAGAGCTCACTGGTTTTACCCATCATGAGATGTTTCTCGTGTGGCACCTTGTTAATGAGACACCTTTTTATAGGCCATCAGTTGAACCAGCTGATTACTGATAGATTTCCGCTGGTGTCATGACTTTCCAATTCAAATCCTGTTCAAATCCTACATTTCGTCAAGCATGTAGTCGATTTCAGCGTCACTCCAAAAGTGTTTTGCTGCGTCTCGCAGCAACGCTGCTCACTTATTTCAGGTACCACCATCTGTTTTCGCACATGCTCAGACTGTGAAATCTGAAAGAAATCAGAGTAAGAGTTCACATGCACTGAGAAATCTGATTACTGAGCTAAAATCCAACTCTCTTTATCAGATTTCTGAAATAGGTTTCTAGACATTACTCCGATCTTTCCATGGCTTTTTGCATCTCTCTTTCTTCATTTGTTCAATACTTTTTCCCTGTGTCATTTCTCATTATTACACATAACTTAATGTATGGACATCTATGGTTTGATTTCTTTGCGTGTGTGGATTGGATGGGTTGCTACCCACATCTGGTGAGAAATTCATGTCAATAGCACCTTTAGAAATATATTTACTTAGAAAATTGGTGACGTGTTCAATACTTATTTCACCCATTATATGACCCATTAGTAAATTTTTCCAGTGAGTGACAGTAATGGCGGTTTTTGTCTTCCAGTTCATGAGGATGGTTTTCTTGGCGATGGTTAGGGCTGTGAGTAGGGCTGTGGAAGTTTTCTTTGTCATATTGATTGCTGATATGTCTCCTAACAGACATACTTCTGGAGATAGGGGAATAGTGATATTTAAACAAAGTGCTAATTGATTGATAATTTCTTGCCAAAAAGGTTTTATAGGTGTACAGTGCCACATGGCATGGATGTGATAAGTTCGGCTGATTTTCTAAGTGAAAATAAGCCACAATTACTACTTAAACTGCTGAATTTAACATTTTGGTAAAAAATGAAGCAAAACATTTGGCATGTTACGGCACATTTTATATTTTATGTTTCATTTTTATCCAGTATATCAAACTGTCTAATATACAGAAATTGTTTGTCACTAAAATGTACAGAAAAATGCCTTTTTTAAGTGTGTTCTCTGTAGAGGATGTGTTAACTTTTCACTCAGAAAATCAACTAAACGTATCACCTGACCAGGGAAAGAAAAAAGAATGAAAGAATGAAAAAAAGAATGAAAAATGGTACTGAACAATGAGCCAAGACGTTCCACAAAAGACTGCACTATGAGGAGCTCTAAAGCCTGACTCCAGCAGGGCCACGCTTGTTAAGCGACTTGATTTGCCAACCTGACAACAGCGTTGACTTGAATTGCACAGTTGATGTTTCAGGTGATTTGTTTCATCCTTTATTGTTTTTTTTTTTTTGTGTGTGTTTTGCAGATCCGCTCAGCGTTTGACTCTCTGCCCAGTTCTGCTATCGTCTCCATGGCCTGCTGTGCCACAGGCAGCACTCGAGGATATGACGAGCTCGTTCCTCATCAGGCAAGAAAACAGCACACTGACAAACAGGGTTCCAACGCACAGCACGTTACCTGTATTCTAATGTGAAGTTAGGCATCTAGACAGTGAGTGTGTTTACATGCACTTAATAATCCGACAACTGCAGAAAAACTGATTTTGACAGTAATCTGATCAAAGCATTTACATGCACTTGAGTAATCAGATAATGTGGAAACTCCAGGTCTACATGAGTCAGACAGTAATCGGATTTCTGCTCTGCAACCAGCCAATAAACTCACAGAAGAAGATGTCACGTAAACATAACGTAAAACTCAAACTTCATGCAGCGCCTTGTTTTTTTAAGCATCGCGCCAAATTACCTAAAAATATGAACATACATCATCTAGAAGATGAAGATTATTCAAATCCTTCATTTCGTCAAGCATTTAGTCGGTTTCAGCGTCACTCTAAAAGTGTTTTGCAGTGTCTCATGGCAACACTGTTTGCTTATTTCCGGTACAGCAGTCTGTTTTCGCACATGCTCAGACTGAGAAATCCAAAAGAAATCAGAGTAAGAGTTCACATGCACTGAGAAATCTGATTACTGAGCTAAAACCCAGCTCTCTTTATCAGATTTCTGAAATAGGTTTCTAGACATTACTCCGATCTAAGAAATCAGAGTGTGCTGTTTACACGACCATTTGAATAATCAGATAACTGCAGAAATCTGATTATGATCAGATTATTGAGTGCATTAGAGTAGCCAGTATTTTTCAAGAAGCCTCTTTAAGATGCTTGTCAGAACAATAGAGAGGTTTGACCTCCTGACCAAACTACACAAACACATGGTTTACAGTGTTTTTACATAGGTTACATTCCCACTTCCAAACACATACTGGACACACGCTTCTCTATTTTAAGTCCAATAGACATTTTAACCTTTAAATACATACCTTTGGTCACTCAATAGTACAAAAGTACAGCAGAATTATAAGAAGTCTATGATGTGGTTTATTACTGCCATAATACTCTATAATATGTTTGTTTCCTAAGATATTCCTGAAGTACTGTTTTCTAGTAATGTGTAATGCTTGTTTAGTGTCCTGTTGTAAATTATAGTAATTGTCCAATTAACTAAGATTCTAATTAAGATCTTACAGGAATTCCTGTAATATTACTATAGATATTTTTCATGAGGGGTGACCTCCCATCCTTCCATTTTTGTTATCCATTTTTTCAGAAATGAATGAAGAAAATCTCAAAATGAAACATATGTTTTGTCATGTTGTGTTGTTGTTGTCAGTAAAATATTTTGGCTGTTTTAGCATCTAGCAGCCTTTGTGTCTGTTTGATATACAGCACTATCAGAGACCACCTTTCATTTACTTAATTTACTGTCAAAACAGCACTCAAGTACAAGTTATTCATTTTCAGGAGATCAGATATAACATAATCCACTTGTATAAAGAAGGAGAAAGTCAAAGGAAAAACAGCAGTTTTCAAAAGTGGAGTTCAAAAAATGAGTAAAAGCTACAGAGAAAATGGGGCTCCTAACAACCACCTGGAAGACCTATTGCACCACCAAAACTGCCCCCATCAGATAAACAGCACTTAAAGCTTTCATCTTTGAGAGAGAGGAGAAAATCAAGCTGCTTCAGATCTAAAAAACATCCACAGGTGTTTCTGTCCATCCTTCCACTGTGAGAAGACGACTCAGTGCTGTGGGTCTGAAAGGATGTGTAGCTGTCAAGAAGAACCTCACTGAGAAAAGGAGATGGACACATCAAACAAAGAAGCTGAACAATGGACTGACCACCCCAGAGTCCAGACCTCAACACCACTGAATGTGTTTGATTACTTCAGAAAATGATCAACCAGCTTCTAAGACTGAACTTTGGAGGTGTGGAAATATTCCTGCAGGTTTCTTTGAGAAACTAAAGTGAGTCTCCTGAAAAGAATGGAAGCTGTAATAAAGGTGAAGAGTGACACACTGAATACTGAAAAATAGGATATTTAGTGTTTAGTTGAGGTTTCTGGCTCATTTTCTGTTAAATAGATATTTTCTGTTTTTACCACAACACTGAAAAGTGAATGGCTTGTACTTAATGACAGTTTTGACTGGAAATTAAAAAAAAAAAAACGAGTGGTCTCTGGTTCTCTGGGAGGCAACAGATATTCCTGTTCCTCCATTCTGTTGTACTGAGCTTCTCTCCTGTTCTGCACCGATAGATCTCAGTGGTGTCAGAGGAGCGTTTCTATCAGAAGTGGAACCCTCAGGCTAAGCCCTCCACTCCTGGAGAGGTCAGCCTGCAGTCGGGCATCATCTTTGGCAAACTGGCTCTAAACCGCCTGCACCAGGAGCTCGCAGCCAAAGGCTTCAACCAGGTAGGTGCACCTGCACTGTGTTTTGTGTTTTCATTTGGGTTTGTGAATGAGTGTGTGAGTTCTGTGGATTTATCAGAATCAGTGGAAATCTACATTCTACATGCTGTTTTGGAGACCAACCAAACAACTCTCTTTGTGAATACGCCACGTACATGACCATCACATGATGCTCATAGACCCCTACACTGCAAAAAATGATATCTTAGTGAGTGTAAACATCTTAAATGTAGTCAATATATCTACTATTTCTCATTATGAGACTGTTGTTAGAATATTATAAGGTTAGTTAATTATTTCTAGTTAGTTTTTATTTGTTTTTAAGCAGTTTTATCTTGTAAAAGTGTCTTGTTTCATTGGCAGATCATGTTACTTGTTTAAAGCATTATTTCTTGAAATGAGAAAATTATCTTCATTATTTCTCAAAACAAGTAAACTAATCTGACGGTGGAATAAGACACTTTCACCAGATAAAATCACTTAAAACAAGTAAAAATGTACAGAAACAGGTAAAATAATCTTATAATGTTCCTACAACAGTCTCATACTGAGAAATATTAGATTGACTGACAACATTTAGGAAGTTTTCACTTGTTAAGATATTATTTTTTGCCGTGTAGCCGAGTTTGTAAGACAATTACAGGTATTAGAAAGTATAAATGGTCCTACAAAACACATCCTTTATTTAGTAATAGTGCTCAGATGAAGCTATTGATCATCCCATTACATCATGTATTTTATTAATTGTAATAATAACCAAAATTACACCATTGAAAGACCCATCAGCACATTCCATTGAGACAGCGACTGTTACTTGTTACTCTCTCGTTGCAACATCCAGTAATAAACTCTTATAAGACTACAAACATCAGATTAAGGGAATGAGTGAGAAACATCAGTTTTTGCTGTATGTGATTCAGAAATTTGCCAAAAGAGACAAAACTGACCGTCATGTTTGACAAGTGACGGTTGACAGTTTGAAATCAGATCAGTCGTTAAAGCACTACTTACCTAAAACTACTGAAGTCTGCTTAAATTTTGACCACTTAAAATCAGTCAGTATTAACTGTTGTCAGAGTTATTTGTATCAGTGACAACATTTTCATGTCAGTGGAGCCCCAAGTATACAGTACTGTGCAAATAAGCACTGCACAAACAAATAGCTTTAGACATCATTTACTCAGATGCTGAAGACTTTTGCCCAGTACTGTATGTGTGTATTCTCATGTTTGTATTACAGGTGTATGTGGATCAGGTGGATGTGGATATAGTTGCAGTGACCCGTCACTGTCCCAGCTCGCACCAGTCTGTAGTGGCTGTGTGTCGCACTGCCTTCAAAAACCCCAAACAGCATAAGTACTCAGACGAGGTTCCACCCATGTTCATCCCAGGTCAGTCACAGGACCTCAGATCCTACTGCACTGAATATTTTGCGATAGTTTGGCAAAAAATTTGAACTGTAGAGTCCCCCTCCACCCTTACTGCAGTCGTAGTGGATCAACCCAGACTTACTTGGTGTCTAAAGTGTGCTTTTTTAGTTTTGAACTAGAGCTGCAAGACTATCCTCTATAAGGTTGGATGTTGTGTCTGTTTTTTTTGTTTTTGTCTTTTAAAAAATGATGAAAAAGTGGTTGTTTTGTTCGTTTTTGCCGTTTCAAATTTCTGCACACATTTTGCTTCAAACCTCACTGCTTTATCAGAAGCAGCACAGCGGAACATTTTTGTGCTGTTTTCTTGAATAAAAATACTCAAGAATGTCTTTTGCATTCTTCAAGTATGCTTGTGACAAGCAGTAAAAACAGACTCGCAGACTCAGGCTTTTATATTTTGTCTGTACTTTTTTCTATTTTGTAAATAGTAGTTTGTCAGTTTGAGACAAGTGTGGGATGATTTTGGACGTGCAGTTTGCATGATGCTAATTGGTGGGGTATAAGCTTCCATTACTTGTTAACTACATTAGCCTTGTAGCTCCTGTGTGCAGAATTTCTAGACCCCACTTTCTTCATCAGATCCAGGACCAGGAGACCAGCGTTGCGTCTGTAGCGTTGATCTTCTTTTCTTCATTCTGCACACGATTCACAGATGCCAATCTGACCAGTTCGACATAGAAAATGACCGTGTTTATGTA